ATTAGTAATTATTCTATCAATCAATTCGTGAATTGATTCACGAATTGATTAAGGATTTGAACTTACCTGTCCATACTCATCCGCCTCCCAGCATGCCATTCCCAGAGGCATTGTTCCTTGCTCCACCATCTTCTCGTACCATTCCGTCGCAGGTGTTGGAGGCATTCTCAATTAGTACCTAAATCGATTTGCAAATCGATTTGTGAATCGATTCGGTTGAATGGTGTATCAGGTAGGAGAGAGATGTGAAAGAAGATTAATTCAATTGATGAATCAATTGATGAATTGATTCAGTGGAGTGGTGGTGGTGTGGTGTGGTGTGGTGGAGATTGGTGGAGTGGAGGCCACGGTGGATTGTTGTAGTGGATGAAAGGAAAGAGGAATTAATTCAAGCTGAGATGCTTCTTATATGGTACACTGACCTCAAAGTGGGGTACACCCCACTTCGAAAAAAACCTTAAAATACGCTAGCACCTGAACTCAATTCAATGGTACACCGACCCGTGAACACGATACTGTCGACGAGGCGTTTTTTTTCCTTTTGTTTTGCCCCCCTCTCTACCTTTCTCTCTCTCTTGAAAGCGCGCGCCCAACCAGCGCGGGGTGGGGACAGTGTCGACGATATGCGGCGGATGGAGCATCAGGTGGTGGTGGTGTAGGCGCAACGGGTGGAGTCTGGATGACCGCAACAGGCAATTGCTCTGCTGCTCCAGGCTCAGTGTGCATATCGTCGCCAAGGGCGCGGTGGTACACGGAGGCGTTGGAGGCTTGGAGTGCTCGAAGACCCCGGTCGCAGCGGTCCCAGCAGACAATGCCTGCCATTGCCAGCAGTAGTCCGTGAGCCTACTCATCCTAGTTCCGTCCTAAAGTGAGTGTCGCCGTCACGCCGTCACGCCGTGTGTCCTGCCAGGCTGCCAATGCTTCCGGCAGGGATGTCATCAGCCGCCGCACGGGAGCCCTCTGCAAATAACGTCGTATTTGATGGACATATCTTATATGCCGATTGCATTGGCCCTTGGGGAAGTGAGGCGGCCTTGCTCTTCGTCCCTGACTCCCTGAACGACACGTACACGTACATGTAGGTAGACAGGTACAGGTATGTTAGGTACATGTACTGTAGGAGTGTGGGTAGAGTGGTAGACACACACTGTCCAGGCCATGTCCTCTCCCAGGCTCCCACCGTGCCACTCCCTCCCACGTACCGACCATTTGGCTTTCGGCATTCCCAGGAACCAGAGTCGACGACGAGGCACGCGATATGATTGTGCGACATCGTTGCGACTTTTGCACGCGCGCCCGCCAAAACCCCTGTCGCTGGGAAGGGGGGCCAGTGGCCACTATCAACGAGCCGGAGCCGCAACGGTAGAAATAGGAATAGGACTACAGGGGCGAGTCTGACAGCCTCCTCCTCGAGGCTCCTCCCATCACAAAATCGTAGGTACTAGGTAGTACAGTAGTGGTGGCTAAGCCTACGGGTAGCCGTAGCGGTACATCATCGTAGGTACAGTACCTGTAGGTGGCCATGGAGCTGGGTCCGTCGTCTGAGGCTGAATCGGCGCCCAACTCCTCGAGACGAATGAGGTACTGTATTTCTCCCCATTGTGCGTCTCGTAGTGGGTCAGAACAACCGGTCGAATGTGGTGTGTGTGTGTGTGTGTGCATCGAGATGAGGCGATCGTAGCGACGGGACACGTTACGGTGAGCGGCAGGCTGCAGTGGCCGTGTGGGAGAAAGTGTGGGATGTCACAACAATCAGGTATACAGGTATTCAGGTACATGTAATCATCCATTCATCATGATAATAATAATGATAATGTCGCTTGCCGGGGTCGCAGTGAGCAGGGCTGCTCTTTTAGACCTGGCAGATCTGCCTCGATGCCGACATCCGAGGGCGGCGAGCTCCTTGTGTGCTTGGCTTCCATTGCTTTTTCAAATACTGAAGGGGAAAAGAGAGAGAGAAGGGAGGGAGAGATAGTGATATCGAAATACATAATAATAGCTTCGACATTGACCTTGCAGAATGCGGATACACACTCGAGCCTAGAACATCACAGCCCTCATTAGCGACCTACCTGTGTATCTTCACCCTGCCCAATATGCTGACTACTGTAGGACTACTGCTCGCCTTTCATATCGCGTGCTTCTGATGGCGGCCTGGGCGACTTCACAAATCAGCCATTGACGAACAGACACTACCACGCCTCGAATATTGTATTGCTGCGAGTCATATAGAAGCCAAGACGAGGCGGATAACGACAGATCTGACTCTACGGGCATACGTTGTGATGCTCACTTCTCACTCCTCACTCCTCTTCACTCCCCACTTCTTACTACGCACTACGCACTACTCACTGGGTACTCACGCAGCTCTCGCCAGAAGTGACACTCGGCTATTCTAGTCAAATCAACCGCAAAAAGAGCTCAGGGCGTACACCTAGCTCTTTACCAGTCGTAGCCGAGCTTGCAGCAACACGATTCCGAGACTGCGGTAACGCACGGCGTTGTTGTGCGTGCAATACCGCCACACCAGATAGACGAGGTACTGTGTATCAAAGTCTATTCGAATCATCGGTAAACACAGCTTTTCACCACTGAAACGACACCTCTACCCCGTACAGCACAGGTCAGCCTAATCACTTACTTGTCGAAGAGAGGAAGAGAAAGCAGCACGAGAAAGAACGGAAAAGCGAAAAACGTTCGAGCGAGGCGGGAAATAAACAACCACGACTACCACTACCCACTTTACTCACTCACTCACCAACCCCCTAAGGTACCACAGGGGCACTGAACACTGCAGCGAATGATAATGACGACTGCATCATCGGTGTAACTGTCCAGTTCGGCTTACCACACACAGCGTGCAGCACGTTGTGTCCCATTCTCACCTCACGAGATCCCGACCCGCCAATGTGGTCCTCTCCCTGGCCCCGATGACCTGGATAGTGGTGAATGCTTAGTACAACGACCACGACCTGTCTGTTCTTGGATGGCTGCAGTAAACCCAGGAAGAAGTAGACGAAGGAAGTAACCACACCGAGTGTTGGGGACTGACTGCCGACGCCACCATACATGTATCCGTTTCGACTCGATTTGTGCAGAAGAGATGAATTATGCAGAAGAGTTGAAATGTGCTCATATATGCATTTGGTGAGTTCAGGTACGTTCTGTGATATGATCAAGAAGACCCTTCTCGACGATATAGAAAGAGAGCACAGTGATAAGAAACCTCCCTATCTGCTATTTGCTTGCTACCTTTTGCTAGAGAGATGTCTGCCTGCCCTGAGCATAGGACGAACTCCAATCGGCCGGCCCATTCGCGACTCGTATACTTACTACCATGTCCAGTAGGAGCAATGACGAGGAGTAAAGAGTCCCGGAGAAGATACAAGGAAGTACTTACGATACGTTTATACGATGCTCTAGGAAAAAGCTTCGTACCTCGTCCGTATGGAATAGAAACTATAATGTATATACCTATCTACCGTATGTATGTGTGGTGTGACCTGCTCGAGAAGATATATGATACATTTCAAGATAGGGTACATGTAGGCCTAGAAGGTATGCTGCTCCGTGCTCGTTTATTGCCTTTTGTTTCTAATACTCTATGATCTTGTCCATCTTGAGTACGGAATCCTATTATCGTTCTCATACCCGTGATGTCCTATTTATCTTGTTCTCCGAATCCCTTTGCTTCTCTCCTCTTTGCATTTACTCTGTTTACGAACAGACTGATATATAGACAAATCCCTTACGTTATAGCAACTCTCGAATGTTATATATCAGACTGGTAAGATACTGGCATGCTTTCTAGGCGTTGCTTGTCAACCCTAAACCCTGAACCCTAAATGAAGAGCTCGCAAAAGCTTCCACCAAGCATTGACAACGCACGAACGCACGTACGGTAAGGACTCCCACGAACAGCATCGACCATTCACGCCCTCTCGAATACCTCACTTCGATCCGCCCTCGTCCGCTGCAGCAAGAAGTCGCTACCATGTCCGACGTGCAGCGTCTGGAGGAAGATGCCCTCCGCCACCTCACGGCATATCTGCCACCTATGCCCAGCAGCACGCACACCGACCAAGACCCATCCACCGTCCCGCAACCAGAGCTATCGCACGCACCGTCTTCTTCGCAAACCACCGCCGCCGCCGCTCCCACCGGCCTGCCATTCGTCACGTTGACCTACGCCGCCTCGCTCGACAGCATGATTGCCCTCGCTCCCGGTGCACGAACGAGCCTGTCAGGGGCCGAGTCCAAGGCCATGACACACTACCTCCGCCTTCGACACGATGCAATTCTGGTGGGAGCCGTCACAGCTGCCGTCGACGATCCTGGCTTGAATTGTCGCTATCCTGATGCCACCATTCTCGACCAGCCGCGACCCATTATTGTGGATCCCAACGGCCGCTGGAAGGGCATGGGCAAGAAAGCATACCAACTCGCCGCAGAGGGCGAGGGTCAAGCTCCGTGGGTCGTCACCACTAGCCAGACATTCGAGAAAAAGTCGAGACTCCAGGATATCGATGGCGACTACGTGATTGTGGACGAGAAAGACGCGGATGGAGCGATTGAATGGTATGCTCTATTGCGCACGCTGTTTGTGAGGGGTATCAAGAGCGTGATGATTGAAGGCGGAGCGACAGTGATCAACTCTCTGCTCGCACAGCCGAACCTGGTGAATGCAGTCATCATCACCATCGCCCCGACCTTTTTGGGTTCAGGAGGTGTCGCTGTCTCGCCCGCAGCGACACAGACTCCGGCGGATGGTGGTGGGCAGCGAACGAACGCGGCGTGGCTGGACCAGCCTTCGTGGAAGCAATTCGGCAACGATGTGGTGTTGTGCGCACGTCTGCGTCGGGGGTAAGGTAGGGAAAAGTATACCTATGAGTGAAGTATCAACTTTTTTTTGATGTTTTTCCTTTTCTTCTTCTCTTGTCTCTTCTCTCGTTTTCTGTGGTTTACTGTACTCATGAACGAACTGCCAATGCACTGACAGACGAGGCTAGGGAGTTTGGAGACAAGACAAGGATACTTGTGGTCGAGAATGTTTGAGCAAGTGAGCTCCGTTCTACGTGAAGATTACCCCGTTACGAGTACAGCCAGTTGGAAGTAGAGTCGAGTCACTCGGATATCGCCATCTAGCATTTTGATGGCATGATGCTTTACGATCACTAGGAGTGACTAATAAGGTAGAAACCGCTGTCCCTTGTATAGGTAGGTACTGTCTGATTTCTTTCTTGTTACCTTTGTTCACTAAGGTAGTCTTGAGCATCTCACTTGCTACTGTAGCCAAACTACTCGCTATTCCTTCAATTTCTCCGACAAGTTGCAATCCTGAGGGAAAATCTCCAATTCGCTGCTGTTTGGCTACAATATTCCTTTAACCCTTCTTGGCAAAAACTTCGTTCCGTCAATTTCTCGTTCTCGTTCTAGTTTCTATTGCGTCACAGCAGAAGCTGCCCCTCCATAGGTGGTGGAGTTACATATAGTTGTAGGTATTAACGTAGTCTAAGATTCCCCGCAAGACCCTGGATCCGCCATCAATTTGTCACGGTTGACGGCACCTCACTGTCTGCAGGAATCCTCGTCTGGAGACGGGCGGTCTATCCACTGCACCCCGTCCAACAACCTCGCTTGGCACGAAAAGCAGCATGCCTCCAAGTTATTCACCTCGGTCCTCTGTTGGTAACAGTAGAGACCTCCTAAGAGGTAAGGGCATAGCCGACCAATGTGTATCCGATCCATCTTGTCAGCGGCTAAGCGTCCTGAGATATTCGTTCCAAGATGATAAACAAAAGATCTCAAGCCGACTTCAGTGCCAAACGCTTAACCATTGGCTATAGCACGACCAGAGTTCAGGCTTGTGATGTCCCATCCCGAAGCCACGAGGACAACCCCGCCAGTATCCAACGGTACGCATAAAGAGATGTGGACCTCGCAGCTGTGAGATACGAGGCCGGGCTATCCAAAGAACCACAATTGTCATCTTTACCTTTTTGGCCGTCGTCACTATGGGGTTCATGGACAAGATCAAGGGGAAATTGTCGTCGTCGTCGTCGTCGTCGTCAGGCAGTGGTGAGAATAAGAGATTCAGTTTTGCTGGCTCTTCACCACAAGCTGCTGCTGCTGCTCCCTCTTCGACTCAAACTCCTGCTGCTGCTGCTAATCCAGCTACTTCTGCTACTGCTGCTGCTCCGGCTGCTGCTCCGGCTGCTACTACTACCACTGCTGCTGCTGCTGCTACCACCGCCCCAGCTACTACCGCTCCAGCTACTACCGCTCCAGCTACCGCTACTACTACAACGCCAGCGACCGCTGCATCCAACCCTGCTACCACAGCTGGAAACGACACTTCTTACCAGCCCGAACCAGCCACAGAAGCAAACAAGTCCACCGGAGCCACTCCTACCACCAGTAGCACCAACATGACTTCATACACTGGTACTTGCCACTGCAAGCACCACGAATGGACCGTCGAGCTCACTCCTGACCAGAGCAAGCATATTCTCTGGTACGTTTATCCCTTTTTTTTTTACAAACAATCCCAATTTTTTCTTTTTCTTTTTTTGCTTTTTTTCTCCCCCAGCTCAGCTCAGCTCAACTAACCTTCCGAAGCCACTGCGACACGTGCAAAATCCTCGGAGGAGGAGCTTACACCCTGAACCAAATCATTCCCAAATCCGCCCTCAAAATCACCAAAGGTGGTGAACCTGGAAAATATACTTATTACGGAGATAGTGGAAAGGTACCTTTCCCCCCCCATAAATCCCTCCCCTCCCTTAACCATCCCCCCCCCTCTTTTCTAACCCCCCCTCTTTTTGGTGAATATAGGCAGTCAACTGCTACTTCTGCCCCAAATGTACCTCTCACATCTACCATCATCAAGAAGTCATGGGCCCGGAAACCATTATTGCTCGAACGGCACTTTTGCGAGATGCACGAGAGACATTTGGGGTTGGGGCGGAAATTTATGGGAAGGCGAAAATGGCCTGGGAACCGAGGATTGCGGAGACTTTTGAGACGCTGCCGCCTTCGTAAGGAAGTGTGAGGGGAAGGGGGGAGGGAGGGGGGGGAGGAGGCGGTATATTATATGTTGTTGTTGTTGTTGATGATGGGTTATATCCTCTCTCTCTCTCTCTCGTTTCGCTCTTTTCCGTGGGTTTGATTTGGTGAAGTTTGGTGAGGTTGTTGGTGTGGTCATGGTTGGTTGGTTGGTGAATACTACTATGACTATATACTATGACTATCACTACTTACTTACTAAATTTTTCGTCTATTCTTCCTGCTGATTTCGTGTTTTTTTTTTCCTGTTTTTCATCACCCCATTTCTACCACACCATCATCATCACCGTCACCGTCACCATCACCATCACCACATCAGAGTGACATCAATGTACAAAAAGCAAAAAAAAAAAAAAAACAGAGAAAAGAATAGAGAAACAAATATATACATAACATACGAAATCATCATCATCTCCTCCCCTCCCTCTCTTCACCCCCCCCCATTTCCCACACAATTAATACCTATACCCCCCACCTCCACCTCCCCCACCCCCCCAAATCTCAAACCTCTCCTCCTGCTCCCTCCGTCCCCTCTCCTCCCACTTCTCCTCCGCCTCCTCCAACAACCTCTGCACAACGCCACAACTCTCCAGCCGTTCCTCCACGACATCCGGACTAATCTGCATGACTTCAGGAGATTTTTCCCAAAACGCCACTCGAGCTCGTACAATTTCCAAAGGTCGACCTTCTTTGCCTGATAGAAATGGGTTGGCCCCGTGCGAGAGAAGGACGCGGACGACGGCGATGGAACCGGGGTAGCCGGATTGGTAGGCGGCGATTCCGAGGGGGCTGCCGTAGGTGTTGTCGCGTTGGTTGGGGTTGGAGGGGTTGTGATGGGGTGTGGAATTGGGGGGTTGTTGTTGTTGTGGTTGTTGGTGGTGTGGTTGTTGTTGTAAGAGGATGGATACAATGTCGGATTTGCACATCCAACTTGCACTGCAGATGGGCCAGCCGCAGAGACCGCCTTGTTGATTGGGATCTGCGCCGTGGGCTAAAAGGGCTTTGACTTTGTTGCTGCCTTTGGTGAACATGGCCGAGTTCAAATGGCAGATGTTGCAGCTGCCTTGGATGTCTTCGGTTAATCGGTGGGCGACGGTGAGGGATTGTACTTCTGTGTGCGTCCACAAGGCGGCGGCGGTGAGATTCCCGGAGCTGCGGTGTAGAGTGGATGGGTCGGCGCCGGTGGTGAGGAGCGTGGTGGCTTTGGAGAGCTCGTGGCGGTGGATGGCGGTGGACAGGGCTTTGTCGTGCAGGGCCGAGGGTTTGGAGGATGTTAATGATGATGAATACGACGATGAGACTCCTCTCAAGGGAGATACAGATCGGTTTTTCAGAATCGTGTTTTTTACAGAGGAGCCTACTTCACGAATAGACATGTTTTTGAGACGTTTTTGCAAGCCATCGATATCCATTTTCCCATTCGTGGGAGTGTCGCAGGGCGCCGAGGCATAACTATTGATCGAGACTGCAAAACTGCGGAACGAGGTGGTGGACTCGCGCTTGCTTCGCATCAGCGCTTCTGCTGACCACCGGTTCTGACTTCGTTTGTGGCGATCGGATACTAGTTGATTGATCTGTGAAATGTAGGCCTGGAGCTGCGCGTGTTCCCAATTCCGGAGCTGGTACGTGAGACGTGCACAGTCCGAGTCGGGGAGTCGTTGGAGATTTTCGGTGCGGGTCGGTGGATGATGACCTGTGCACGGCTGAGAATGAGGGAATTTGAACCCGCAATGGCCCCTCTTGGCAGCGTCGAGGTGCTTTTGCAAATCTTCCTCGTGGTCGAAGCCGATGCGGCATTTCTTGCATTTGTGATTCCCCTTGAATGACTCCAGGTGGGTTCGGAGATGGTCCAGTAACATGTCGTCGTCGCCAAAGACCCGACCACATGGGAGGCATATGTGGGGCTCGTAGCCCTCGACGTCCGGTGCGTCCATGATCCTGTGGGCGAGAATGCGAGCTTCGGAAGGCCGTGACTTTGCATCGTGCACACCTCGAGGAGTCGCCGTCCGGGGTCGATCCGGCTGTGGGCTATCCTTCCTTCCGAGCATCGGTTCGTCCCATAAGCCATCGCTCGAATGTCTGCGTGCAGCGTGCTTGGGTCCTGGTGGCGGCGGAGTCGGCGTGAAGATCCGCTGGTCGTCGTCACCAGGCCACGTCTGGAATGGTATGGATAGGTCGGAATTGTTCTCGGTCTTGATGGAGGGTGCCGAATCGCTACTACAGCTCTTGGTCAGGCTCGGTGTAGATCCCGATCGACTAGTGGTGAAGTCATTGTAGGACTTGGCTCCGCGCAGCTTGGGGGGCTGCAACATCATCTCGTCTGGCGTCACACTGGCTCGCAGTGGGCCATTCCATGAACCCTTGGGCCTCAGCAGTACAGCATGGTCATCCGACATGTGACTGTCCTCCATACGGCCGGCAGACACGTCCACCGCGGTGGCGCCGGTGGCCTCGCCATGTTGTTCGCGCCGGTGGCGTTGGAGGTCGTGATTCCGGCCGAACGACCTGCCACATTTGATACAGAGATGCCGTTTGTCAGGCTGGAGTCCCAGTCGTCGTCGGTGCATATCAGTATGTCGATGTCGGGCCAAGGCGCGCTTCTCGGTATAGGTGGTGCCGCATGCTTCGCACTCATAGTGAATGCGGGCGCGTTTGTTTGGTGGCAGAGTGGTGGAGTCTTGCGATTGCTCGCTGCTTTCGCTGGCAGGCGAAGCGTCCTGCCGGGGTCGGTGGTATATGGCCATGCGTTTACTCTCCTCTCGTATCATGCCAAGCCTCGTGCCGTCATCGACAGGCGAGCGGCGATGAGGCGGCGGGGCGGCGTAGTACTCCATGGTATGGGGGATGTGAAGAGAGCAGCGGTGATCCAGGTGCGCAAATCATGCAGGTGCCATATCTATCGGAAAATAGTGTCGTGTACTGTAGTGGCGGAGTTCTTCGTGCGGGTATAGCTCGCGAGTCGTACCCCCGATTAATGGCCTGTAGTACCAAAGGCACACGAGGACGAAGTCAAACTAACGTGCGCCCAATCTACCTGAGAGATATACTGCCGGCAATTGGGATTGCCAAGAGGTGCTATGAAAAGTGGCGGTCGCCTGAGAGGTGCCCGAATTCGTCCAGCCGGAGACGAGCACGTGGTCGTGATGGTGGTGGTCGTCGTCGCCCTATGACACCGAAGTTCACTGCCGGTCAGAATGATCCCATTGCGCAGGAGGAATTTCACGGAATGTTTGTTGTTTATTGACGGTGGTGTTCAGAGATGCAGGTGGATGTGAAGAGTCCAGAGGCTGAGAGGATGGACCAGAGGGGTTTCAAGTCATGAGACCCTGCAGGTCGGTCTACGCGTATTGGTAATTAGGTAGGTCTTGATCGGTTGATCGACATATCATATCTTGTAGGCCGGGAGCGTAGAGACCGGCCATGTCTCTACCAGCGAGAGGCTCAGGCCTCGCTTCGGCCGCTTCCTCGGAGCATCGTATATCATCATCTGCTGGCCACAGGTGCACTTTTTGCTCGTCCATGTTTCACCCCGGCTTTCCTCTTGTTGCACCTTGCAGCTACCTCCTATAGCAAGCGAGGCGAAGAAGATATGGGAGGACTGGACTGGACTGGGTGCCCGACTCATGTCCACTCTCTGCCGAAGGATGGTAAGATGAGCTGAAACGTACGTCTAAGGACGGCATGGGTGATGGTGAAGTCAAGCTCAGACCATGCCGTCACCAGATCCAATAGTGTTCAAGCCACCAACACTATTCTTGGGCGAACTCGACCGAACTCGACCCTCAAGCTCTTCCACACGGGACCACAGCAGTGGCACCTGGGGCAAGTGGTCCGATCAGATGTGGAAGCAGTATATGTAGTAGAGATACCTACTAGTAGCATGCGTCACTCATCGATGCGCATCTCAGCCTACATGTATTGCTGAATACCTCCTTACCTATTGATAGGAGATAGGAGGTACCAGGTAGGCATCCGAGAGTCTTCCAGTGCACTCAACGTCCCTGCTGCTTGATCTCGCCACAATCTGCGCACGAGCGGATGGGGCTCTGCAGTCGCTTTAGTCAGTGACAGACTGACAGCCTGACATGTGGCTCAGCCGATCAGATCTGTGAATGTTGCTTTCGGGGGCATGCCTGCCATACAACGAGGCGAATGTGAAAAAGGGTCCTGGTGACAGCTTGCTGAGAGAGAAGGAGAGTGAGCTAGAGTAAGGTACCTAGTAGGTATCTGTATCTCGAGACTACGAGCAGGCTACAAATTGTCAGCATGCTCCGAGTGAAAGTCGAACCAGTTTCATGCTTCATCCCGTCCTGGACATTGTTGGCTGATGGTTGCTCTTCTGGAGCAAGACCACAGATCTCCCGTCGCGACGACTGATAGACCATCTGTTCTTTGAACTTTCATCCACCTCTATTCGACCTGGACAGATTGGCGGAAGCATGAAGCTCTCGAAGACATGATTGATATACATCAAGGCGACGAGAAGAATGCGAGAGTGCCATAACGTAAGTTACTGCTGTGGATGACCAGGTGGTCGACTGAGATTGTACTACTACCTCCTAGGAGGCAATACTGTTTGTGCACGGCCGGCCCTCACGAACACCCGCATCCGTAGCATGGGAGGACTAGTTCCAACTTCCAGCACATGTAGTGCGTAGATGGTGGTAGTGTAGGTAAGGTAAGATGGCGGAGAGAAGACAGGATGAGTGGATGTGCAGTGCAGTGCAGTGCAGTCAGCATAGGAGGTACTGTATGTATGTACTCGTGACACGGAGGCATTTCCAGAAAGCCACCAGAAACTGGTGGGCAATACGAAGGAGTATACGACGGCTCTTATGCAGCATGCTATATGGATTGGACGGGAAGCGAGGGAAAAACGGTGTTCGGCAATGAGCATCCCTTGCATACCGCGTGAGAAGCAAAAGGCTTGGCGGAGAAGTAGAACAAATGAATTATGACGAAAGGGAGGGCAGGGCAGGGCAGGGCAGACGAGGGGCAGTGCCAGACGTGACGCTGGACTGGCAGCTGAGAGCACCACTGCTGGCAACTGGCTGCTGGCTGCTGCTGTGTCGGGAGCCTTGACAAGACTTTCATTTTTCTACCCGCTCCCTACCTGACCTACCTACCTACCTACCTGACCTATACACCTATACACCTTCCCACAGGAGTCACAACCTGAAGAGACTCCTGGGCATCCACCAGATCCGATCAGATTCCTCCACCCTCAGACTGATCACAAGCCGAACCCCAAACCTACCAACAACACCTCCCGCGCCCGCCGCCCTCCTCCGCCGTGTGTGCACCACTCGTTCCTTGCCCTTCCGCCGCCCTCTTGTCGTCAGCAGCGTAGAGCCGACCAAACCATGGTGCTCGGCCACAGGAAAGGCTCGATCGTTTCGAGTGCGCGTGGATCCACCGAGCAGGACCGCAGCGACAATGAAGGTGCAGACGGCGACCAAACCGTCGTCAGCGAAGAGCAGGGCAACATCCTCACACACATCATCTCTCAGCTACGACCCGGCGCCGACCTGTCCCGTGTCACTCTGCCCACCTTCATCTTGGAGCCCCGATCAATGCTCGAGCGTATAACAAACTTCATGGCACACCCGGAAACGATGCTGCACATTCCCGAAATTGATGACCCGGTCGAGCGATTCGCCGCCGTGACCAAATTCTACCTGTCCGGTTGGCACATCAAACCACCCGGCGTCAAGAAGCCGCTCAACCCGATCTTGGGAGAGGTGTTTACGGGCTACTGGGACTATCCGGATGGGACCAAAGGCTATTACATCAGTGAACAGACGAGCCACCATCCCCCCAAGAGTTCCTACTTCTTCATGGCCCCAGAACATCACATCCGGATCGATGGCTGTTTGAAGCCGAGGAGCAAGTTCTTGGGCAATAGTGTGGGCTCTTTCATGGAGGGGATTGCGGTTATGCGCTTCTTGAACCGAAATGGTGAAAGATACTTCATCACTCAACCCAACATGTACGCAAGAGGAATCCTGTTCGGCAAGCTGAAGTACGAGTTGGGAGACCATGCGATTGTGAAAAGTCCGGAATTGGATCTGGAGGCCGATATTGAATTCAAAGTGAAGGGATGGGTGGGTGGTGGATACAATGCCATCAATGGCTATATCAAGAAGAGCAGTACCGGGAAGAATCTGTTCGAGTTGACGGGGCATTGGCATGAGAAGATGTATATCAAGGATCTCTCTACGGGCAAGAAGACCGAGTTCTTCGATGCGAGCCACGCGACGCCGAGCCATCCAAAGGCACGACCGTTGGAGGAACAGGCTCCACGAGAGTCGCAGAGGTTGTGGTACGAAACGACACAGGCCATCAAAAAGGCTGATCAGAGGACGGCAACCGATGCGAAGAGCAAGATTGAAGACGAGCAAAGACAGGAAGCCGCTGAGAGGGGAGACAGCCCGTGGCAGCCCAAGCTCTTCAAGGCCATCGCGCCCGGAGACGAAGAGAAGCTCGAGTGGATCATTGATGCTGAGGTGGATTACCATGCGCCGGCAGAGAAGCAGGTGGAGCAGATTCTGGCCGTGGCGCCTATACTGCCTGGACAAAGGCACACGAAGGAATTTGATGAGCAGGAGAAGCTACCGTCTCAGATGATGAACCCGCCACAAGCATCACACCCGACTGCTTCCACTTCCAACAACAATGATGATGGTCCTACTGCCGAGGCGGACCAAGCCGCACAAGCGTTCCGAGCACAAGGAGCCCACCAGCTGCCGCTCCGTGGCACTGCCGCAATTGCGCAACAAACACAACGGCAGAACGACTTGGTAGACTTTGGACAGAATGATGGTACGAGTGATGTACCTCCTCCTCCTCAACGACAAGCCACCCACACTTCGGTGGAATCTGCGCCTGTTGCCACTGGTTCCGCCACGACATCAGAAATGTTGCAAGAACCTCTTAGACCAACTCAAACCACACCAGCACCTACTAGCACGTCTGAATCTGCTACAGGCGCAGTCGCCGCGACCAAGCCCTTGTATTATAGGAACCCTACGAAGCCCGGCAAGGCGCCGAGTGCGGCTGGGTTGATGAGGAAGGATAGTCTGGGGGGAGAGGACATCTTTCATGATGCCGAGTCGTGAGGTGGAAGTAGCAGCAGCAGCAGCAGCAGCAGCAGCAGCAGCAGCAGCAGCAGCAGCAGCAGCAGCAGCAGCAGCATTAGTAGTAGTAGTAGTAGTAGTAGTAGTAGCAGAAGAAGAAGGAGACGGAGCAGAAGAAGCACAAGAAGCACAAGAAGAAGCATAGACCTGAGGACGACGTTGCGGCAGCCGAGTGACGAGCATGAATCATGAAGAAGTAATCAGCATGCTGGGCATGGGGCGTAATGGAAAGGACGGAAAAAGATTTGTCTATATATCATCCTACGAGCACAACAGAGCACAACGTAACTCCTGAGAGAGCGACGCTTCTTCAACAGAGCCATGCTCTTAAGAACTGATTTATCCTTTTTATCCTTTTTCTCTTGCTTCTCTTGGCGCGTCAGTTTCGTGATTCCGGTCCATGTGGAGAGCTCAGATCGCGCAGCTGCCAGCATGTGAAAGTCTGTGGAGAGAACCATATAGACATGTACCTCATCTCCACCACCATCATCACACAACTTCACCGTCTTTGCGACCCACGCAGACACATTCTACCAGCACACGCGTGAGTGAGAGAAAGGAACAGAGACACCATGGCCGATCCACGACGACGACCTCCGCCCCCTCCACCTCCACCACCCCCCGAGCACGAACGACTCAGCATGGAAGACCAAGAACAACAACAACAGCAGCAAGATTCCTCAGACGGAGCAGCAACCGCCGCACAGCCCTCTCAAAATCCACCTTCTACAGACTCCGAGTCTGGGAATTTCAAACTCCGCTTCTGCACCGTCTGCGCCTCCAACAACAATCGCTCCATGGAAGCGCACTTGCGCCTCACCTCCTCCCCTCAGCAGTATCCTGTCCTCTCCTTCGGAACAGGCAGTCTCGTCCGCCTACCCGGCGCGTCTCTGCACTCTCCCAACGTCTACAATTTCAACTCGACCAGTTACGAACAAATGTATCAGGAACTCAAGGAAAAAGATAAGAGACTGTATTCGGCGAACGGGATTTTGAACATGTTGGAGAGGAATAAGAATATCAAATGGGGACCTGAGAGGTGGCAGGATTGGAGGGTCGGTGTTCCCCGGGTGGGAAAGAGGGTGATTGGCAAGCAGAGTTTACAACAACAACAGCAGCAGCAGCAGCAGAAGCGGCGGCGACAGCAGGAAGAAGAGGGAGAAGAAGGAGAAGGAGGAGAAGAGGGAGAAGAAGCTGCTGCGCGAATTGAAGCAGAATGGTCTCAAGACCGAGGATCCGCAGGTGCAGAATCTGGCGTCGTAGACATCGTCTTCACATGCGAAGAACGCTGTTGGGATGCCGTCGTCGACGACCTCCTCACCCGCGGCGCACCTCTCAACCGACCCGTGCACGTCTTCAACGTCGACATCAAAGACAACCACGAAGAAGCACTCGTTGGCGGACGGGCCATATTAGAATTAGCAGATGCGTTGAATGCCGCCGCGAGGGAAGAACGGGATGCATATACTGCTGCTACTGCTGCTCATGCTGCTGAAGGTAGTACTACGACGCATTTATTCGACCAGGGAATTGCAGGCCGAGAAGGATTCGATGAACGAGTTCCGGAGATTTTGGCGCAGTGGCAGGAGAAATGGCCGCATTTGCCTGCTTTGTGGACTTTGGCTTGGTTTTGAAAATCACCAAATTAAAAAAAGAAAAAAAAAAAAAAAAAAACATAGAAAATGACAGAAAAAGGGAGTGAATACATGTACTCTCTCTCTCTCCCTCCCTACCTGAAATCCACCCCGCTAGTCACATACCTTTCTCCATACCTATCTCTACCTACGGTATCTCTATAGGTACCTCTATCTTCTCCCTTCAGAGGCAAAAGAAAGTCTACACTAAACCACACACCATACCACACATTTCACACATTTCACACATTTCACACTTCTCGGTACATATAGGCATCTTAGCCTCGTATAGTCGCCCTCCTTAGGAGGTATTATAAACCCATTTCAATCTATGCATGTCATTGGAAGAAAAAAAAAAAAGAAACAGACCAAAGAACAGCTAGCATCATAAACCAACAACAACAAGTTGATTTATTTGGGAAATATATCCTAACCTAAGCCATCAACAGGTTACCAATAGGAACACCCATACTCTCGAACCAATATCGTCGTTTGACACCCATGCCTTGGCCCATATCCGCACCAGCGCCAGCTACACCTCCACTCTTGCGCGAAGAAGAAGAAGAAGAAGAAGAACGAGAAACTTCTTGAATCTTGCCAGATGCGTCGAATCTACCGGTGACGCTCGCGACTCTCTTCAATAGACTTGCTGCATCCTCTTGTGGGAATTCGCGAGAACCTTCGGCGGCAACGTTGACGCCATATCGGACAGTGGGAATGTGGCTCCCATCGACCATGCACATGGCAATCGAATGCGGTCTGACCAGCCCGTTTGGAGTCTTTTGAACGTGATCTAAAAGCGGTCGGACGAGGCCTTCTTCATTCCTGTGAGATCCGTCTCCGCTGTCTTTGGAGAAGTTACTGACAACCACTACAAGCTGCAAAGAATCCTTGCCCGAAACAAAGGCTGGAATATGCTCCAACTTCTCCCCAAACGAACACCCACCCCGAAGTACAACAAGAATTTGATATCTCCTCGTAATGTGCGCAGGGAGTCGATGTTGACAAAGTGTATCGTCAAGGTAGTAAATGTTCTTCAGAGGGAGCTGACCAGCTGGAATAGCGAGCACGTCAATATCCATTCCAGAGCCTCCAGGGGGATGGGATCCGATCCCGGTGGGCAGGATGGCTGGAATCAGTTGTCTCGTGATTGGGCCTGGGATCGTCTGAGCTCGCCGGGGACTACTGGCAGCTGAAGGTGCAGCACCAATGTTACTGCGAAGTTTTTCCGAGAATTTGTCAGTCCCAGGGAAGATTTTGTTGACCATATTGTCGATTTCGTCCCACATTGCGTCGAAGGTACCGTTTTCCAAAAGATCGAGCTCCGCCACTGGAGCGGCGCCGTCGCCATCATCATCATCAGTGCTTTCATCTAAAGGGGGAAGATCCAGCACGAGATCGATCATCTCCAAATCTTTGTGGCGCGTGAAGTGAGGGTCATTGGCATTCAGGTCCTTCAATGCACTACCTGCAAGCAGAACTCGCTGGTCTTTCCCGAGATTCCAGTTGGCAATCGTATTGATGCGATACTCCTCTCCTGCTATAATCACTTCTTGTCTATCTGGCAGTAGCAATTTTCTCGGTTCTTGAATCATACCAAGGCGCAAATTGGAGAGAGACAGGAGTAGTATGCCTGAAGGGTGATTGTTAGCGGGTCTCTTAGGCTGCTGATTGTGCCGTGCCTTGAGGCAACTCAGCAGTACGCGCACGAAGCCGAAAGCTGAGACTGCGGATTGGATCTGAATATACGTACCGTCCGGCACACTATGCGCAAATGATCCTCGGTCCGCATCCGGAATAATTGCCGGGAAAGTGAGCGTTGTGGTGACTGGAAAGAAAAGACTGTCAGCGAGCGTTCTCTACATCTACCCGCGTGGCATAGACAAACGCGTCCGCGGTCGATCTGCCCTCTGGCCCAACCACTTCTTCCTGCGCATGTCCGCGACTGTATGAGTACTCACCTGGAACGACAATGGGCGAAGAAAGCCCCTTCGCAGGCACAAGACTTTGCGGCAATGTCCAAGGGTAGAATGTATAGTTGGTAGGACTATGCACATCCGCAAAGGAGATGCCAGGACCGTAGTTCGAACTTTCTTCTAAAGGGGAAGAGCGGTGAGGTTGGACTGGGACCTGAGTGAAGTTAGCCAATGTGAACGAGTTGATTACCCGCTGCAGGAAGAGGTAGTTGACACGTACCAAATGAAGCTGTGCAAGTGCTGCCGCATGGAATAGATCTGCTCTGTTGGCAATGTTGCTGACTGTCAGGGGCAAAGCCGATGGAGGCGCTGGACACTTGGCTGCTGTTGCTGGAGCGTACAGTCGCTCGTCGCGCTTGTTGAGCGGCCCAAAAGCCTGGTCGTGTCGGACAGACTCCGGGATGACGAGAGGATGGCCTTCCGTAGTAAAGACAATAGGTCGATCGAGTTTGTTGAGTGGATGATCTGGCGCGAAGAGCAGATACAGGTACTTTGCAGTCTCGCCCAGGAAGAAGCTTTCCATGCGATCTCTTTGCCTGCCCGTCGTGACATCCTCGAGAGAAGCCCAGCCACACTCGGTCCAGCAACTTTTTCGAATGTCACGTAGAGTCATCTCGCCGACGTGAAGGTAATAAGGGTCCTTGGTGGCCTGAAAGAGGTAGAAGGTGCTCTCTATGAACTCGGGGCGGCCGGCCCAGTGCTTCATAGTCTCGAGATGGGTACTGCCCACGTTCCAGCGTTCCGGCAGTGCGCCGAATCTTGTCCACAGCGCGCTCCACAACAGGTGAGACTCGATTGCCTCGTCCAGCTCTCCGGCCAAGACGAGTAAGCCTGGCCAGTATGCAGAAAGGTTGTCAATCCACGGAGCACGATCGGCTCCCGAGAGGTAGTCGACTTGAGCGTGGAAAGGATGCTTGACCGACGTTGGTCCGCGATAGACGTGCCTTTTGACTGCAGCGTGAGCCTGTTCCCATACGCGGAGGAAACTGTCGGGCGATTCGGTAGAATAGTTGTTTGGGTTGTATGGCAAGTTGGAAAGCAAAATGTGGGACTTGAGAGAATACTCGAAAAATGAATCAATGCCGGCGCCGATACCCGAGAGGACTGGGCCATGTGGTAGCCAGTGACCGGTCTCGGCATCGATGCCGTGCCCCAACAGGTCAATGGGTGATCTCTGATTCCAGATGGCCCAGAACGCTTTCTTGGCGACCTGCTCGAAGCGAATGTCCCCAGTCATGCGACTGAGTGCTGTGAACTCCAAGACCAGACTGCCAGCACCGGCGGTACAGGTCTCAGTGATCTCGCGGGGTGCTGTAGAGGTACCGTCTGCGCGACAGAAGCCTTTGTCTGCGTCTCGGTAGAAGGGAATGCCGTGACGCAGGTTGACTCTCGGATAGGGAATGTCAGTAGGGGTGCTGAACGCAGGAAGCAGCCTTTCAGCCAAGTCTTTGGCCAGACGGAGCAATTGTCCGTTGTATCGAAAGCCATTCTTCCACTTAATGCCTGGCTTTCTGCCCTCCTCCCAGATCGGATTGTATCCCGTGATGGGGAGATCGCCTAGAGCAAACAGGTGTGCAGACAGTAGTCCTCCCACGCCGCGGATGTTGGTCTCGAAGACCTGTACCTTGCTGTCCAAATCAAAGCCGCACGCCCGCGTACCACACCCCGTTCCGTCGCCGTACAGGTCGACGACACTCTCGACGCCGTCCTGAAAATCGCGCAGTGGATTGCGCCTGTCGGCCGTATCGTCCTGCGGGCCGGAAGCAAGGATGGCCAATGTCGACAGCGAGTCAATGAGCGTCAGGCTGTAGTTGCCCAGCACATCGTTCTCGCCCTGATCGGCGCCCCGGCCACGTCGTCGTGTCAAGGGCTGGCACGATATGGGCTTCAGCTCGTCTTCGGGAAAGGCGACGTGCATGTAGTTGTCGAAGCCATGGTAGAAGAGGTGTTCGGTGCTGCGGCGGAGGTGGGCGACGTGGTCATCGGTCATGCCATGAGCGAGCGACACGCACCAGGCGCTCAGCGCAACGGCGACGAACATGGGCCATATCCTGCTGGTCGAGGCCGATCGTGGTAGGCGGGGGGATGCCTTCAGCTGCATCAGCGGTCATGAGCCGCCCGCCGCGTTGCTTGCTTGACGTGCCACGCGTGTCACGAGCAGCAGAGGTTCTGCATAGGAAGGTCTCTTGCGTCGGCGACGGAACTGTGCGACGGCGAGGTGGTGGTGGTGGGCGGTGGCAGTCGAGTCGTCGAGTGGTCGGAGAGCGAAGAGGAGAGGTGTCAGTAGACCTTACAGGTAAGGTGCATGTACCTTTAGTTCAACACGTGGAAAAAGGCAATGGCATGCATGGATGTCATTACCGAGCAGAGCCGCATCGAAGAAGTTCCGCCCGGCAGACCTCGAGCAGTAGAAACTTGAACAGCAACGGACTACCTCATCCCCCCCATTCCTGTTCTTCACTTCCATTGTACCAACAGTCCTCAGTCCTTTCCTTCTCCCGCTCGACAGGAAATCAGGAACAACACAAGGCGGCATCGTCAGCTTCAAGACAGGATCGGGCAGCACAGGACACAGGACGGGACACAGCAAGAAACGCGACCATGCTGCTGCGAGCAGTGCTCCACGCATCCAGACCAGCGACACCATCCCCTTCACACCTTCGACATGGCGCATTGACGACATCACTGCCTTTTGCTTCCCTTCGCACACGAACATTCGCCTCCAAGACTTCACCGCCGCCCTCAGGCAAGCGACCGCCTCCGCCACCGAAACCATTCAAACCCAGCTCGACGACAGGCCGAGCTCGTCAGACGTCCCCGGGAACGACGGTACCGAAAGATCAGACATGGACACCCAAAGATGGGATCAAATTTGATAAAAAGCCCAGCGCTGCGACACCCAAGGGAGCTGGCGCAGCATCAGCGACCGCCGCGGGAGTGGGCCATGCTGTTTCATCGCCGGTAGAAGGCGCAAGGACCACCGATGCAGCTTCGACGCAGTCGCCGCTAGGAGGGGATAATGAACCCACTCAGCAGATTCTGCAAATGTTTCAAGAGGGAAAGGGTATTGCTGATATTGCCAAGTTTGTGCAACAGTTGCCGCCGGACCAGCAGCAGAAATTGAAAGACATGACGCCTGATGTACCGCCCTTGACGACGCAGCAGTTCCAGAAGGCGGAGGAGATGCGCAGTGCGGGCAAGAGTTGGGAGGACATTGCAGCTGAAATCAAGTTGCCGGTGAATGAGATGAGGGCACAGGTGGGTGGCATGGAAAGTGCGAAGGAGCCGGCTGCTCAAGAACCATTGGCGCAAAAGTTAGACGCAGATGAGCCAGTCGCTGGTTCGATACGGGACCAGGCACAGGAGAAAGTAGCGGCCTCAGAAAACACTCCAGCTCCAGATGTGGGCGAGGAAACAGGTCCGAAGCAGACCGGACCCCTCCCAGACCTGCGACATGGCATTCCCAGCACGTTCGACTTGGAGTTCAACCAAGCAAAGACGAGAGACAAGCAGCAAGATGCAGCAGAGTCGGAAAAGGATACCTTTGACTTGATTGACAAGGCTCAGCGCAGGCCAAAAGATGATGGCGAGGAGGGCGAGAAGCAGTACGATCGCAAGGCGTACGAGACTTCTCTGGACAGGAGACGTGAAATGCTCATGAACTACCTCTACGCCGCAGTTCTCGTCTGGGCACTTTTGAGCGGCTTCTACCTCGGCCGACCGTTCGGTGAATATGACGAACTTCCTGCAGGTCTCACGCAAGACGAAGCTGCTGGCTGGACACCACAGAAGATCTGGAATCGCATCCGAGGAAGACTGGGGAACCAGGTCGGCCACTACACTGAACCTGCTTTCCCCAAGCTCCTCCCAGATGTGCCTGAATCGCAACGACCGCCATTCACACTCGTCTTGTCGCTCGAAGATCTCATGATCCATACGACCTGGGACACCAAACACGGCTACCGTACCGCCAAGCGTCCCGGAATTGACTACTTCATTCGCTACTTGTCACAATACTATGAACTCGTTCTCTTCACCTCCGCACCTCGATCGATGGCCGACCCGATCGTCGCCAAGCTCGACCCCTACCACTTCATCATGTGGCCTCTCGGTCGTGAAGCCACCAAGTACGAAAACGGCGAGTACATCAAAGATCTCTCCTACCTCAACCGTGATCTCAAGAAGACCATCATCATCGACACCCACGCGCCGCACGTCAAGAACCAGCCCGAGAACGCCATTGTCATCCCCAAATGGAATGGCAGCCCGAAGGACACTCACACCAAAGACCTGGTAGCACTAATTCCCTTCCTCGAATACGTCGCCACAATGGGCACAGAAGACGTCCGCCAAGTCCTCAAATCGTTTGAAGGACAGTCCATCTCCGAAGAATTTGCCCGTCGAGAACAAGTGGCTCGCGAGAAATTTCAAGCACAACTCGCCGCCGAGCAACGAAGAAAACCCAAGTTCTCTCTCGGCAGCATCGTCACTGGCTTGGGAGTACAGGGTGGAAGCGGTGGTGGCATGGTTCTTGCGGATGGACAAAGTGTTGCCGAGGGCTTGAAGCAGGGCAAAATGCTGAGTGATCAGATCCGGGAACAAGGACAAAAACAGTATGAGCATTTGGAGAAGCAGATTCGGGAGAACGGTGAGCAATGGCTGAAAGAGGAGGCCGAGGAGATGAAGAAATTGCAAGAGGCGCAGATGAAGGACATGAAGGCCGGAGCTGCCAGTTGGTTCGGGCTAGGTGGTGGAGCAAAGAAGGAATAGAAGAAGCGTTGACGAAGACGCATTGAATGTGGGTTCTCTACTCTTATGAGAAACTAGCTACGGCTAGTTCAGATTGTGCATGAATGATGCATTTTAGCGGGCGGCGGAAGGGGGGTGTGAGAGAGACAAAAGAATACATGCTGTATAGCCACTATGAGCGCCTGGACACCTGAGCGAGCCGGACGAGGTTTGCACATGTGTATGTACGTTATTGAGTGTTGTATCAAGAAGGGAATAACGAACGAAATACATTATCATAAAGACATCCCATCTACAGACTACACGTCGAACCGAACCCTGATTCCTTGGCATCTCCACTTTTCTGCGGACTACACACTTTCTCTCCCCCGAAAGCCACTCAGGTCCTATACCATCATCCCAGCCCAACAACAACGACACAACAACAACAATAACATCAAAACGACTACTCCCAACGACTACTGAAAATGCTGCTGATCATCTCCAGTTGAATAGCAAGTAAGCAAGCATGAAATGGCTTCGGTGCAAGCAACAACGCGGTCATTGGAAACGTTAATATCCTCAATTATAATATGCCCAATCCACTCAAGAAAAAGCTTCAACTCAAGCGATTAAATTCTGCCATACAAGCCAAAGCGAAAATCAAAGCCAACACATCTCTTTCCTCTGTTAAAAACCCTGCTGTTGCTGCTGCTGCTGGAGGTGGTGGTCGTCGTGATGATTGGGGCAGTTTTGAAAGATCTCAGGCAAAGCTTGCACTGCGACATGTGAGCTTGCAACCGGTATTGAGTGCAGAGCATTCAACACGGCCGTCGAAGGTGAAGGTTGTGCGGATGTGGAAGTTACGGGAGGAAGCAAGAAGAAACAAGTCGATTGAGAAGAGGAAGTCTTTTGATATCTGGCGAAAGCTGTTCGAGCTTTTTTCTTCCGCAGCTGCTGCCATTACTGCTCCGTTTGTGCGACGCACGCGTCCACATCCGTTCGCGCGGGCCTCGGTTCTCCAAACTCATTCACCATCGACTGTGAGATCTAGAGTCAGGCGACGACGAGCCAGAGTAAGTTCCGCTCCCAATTTATATTATGGTTCTATTGAGCAATTGCAAAAGATTCTGGGTCTCGATGAAGATGCTTCTCCGGATCGGGATGTTATTTTCTTGGCTCTGGATTTGGAATGGGAGCGCAAGGGAATCAGGCGGAAGATTACGGAAATTGGGATCACGACCCTGAGGATGAGTGATATTGTGGGTGTTGAGCCCGGGGCTTGGCTGAGGGGTTGGAAGGAGAAAATGGAACATGGTATGTCTTCTGTTTTATCATTGTTGTCTTCCCAGGAATATCATATCTCGCTCTTCGGTTGTGAACAGAGGTAGACAGACTAACATCCACATCCAGTCCACATCGTCACCCACGCCTGCACTGATGCCTCCTACGCAATGTCCTCCTCTCTCTTCGCCAAAAACTCATTATACATGACCCGCTCTGCTGCTTCGGCTTATGTCCAAAACCTTGTGACCACCCTACTCTCCTCAACCACAACAACACCACCACCAACACCAATGACCTCTCCCCGCATAATCGTAGTAGGCCAATCGGTCTGGACCGACATCGTAGCTCTCCGATACGACCGCTCCTTCCGCCTCCACCTTCCCAACATGCTGAAGCGCAAGACCTCCAGCTCCAGCTCGAGCGACAGTGATCCCTCCTCCGCCACCACCACCACCAACACCCCAAACTCACCATTCTACATCTTCGACACCCACAAACTCGCTCTCTCCGCCAGTGCCTCCGGCGGCCAATTCATAGGAGGTCTCCGCCTCGCATCCATCGCGCTCAATCTCGGAATCGAAGCACAGTATCGCACCCCGAGGACAGACACTAGACAAGCTTTGCAGGATTTCGTGCACTATGGATCGGATCCTCTCGTGGGCATGGATTTGAAGGGTTGTCATAATGCTAGTAATGATGCTGCGTATGCTTTGATGACTATGTTGTTGCTTGGGTTGAGGTGGAGGGAGTTTGTGGGGAGTGATGGGGTGAGGGCGGGGAAGGTTTGGGAGCAGACGGGGGGATTGGTTGCTGATGTGGGGGATGGTGGCGGTGGTGGTGATGCTGGTGCAGGAGGGACTTTTGGGGAAAATGAGAAGAGTTCGAAGGAGAAGAAGCTATTGTCGTGGAGAGAGTGGCTCGGGCAGACCTTGCGTGGTTGTTTTCGGGTGGAGAAATGAGCATGACCTGACTAACTCCAGACTCCTGATCTGGTCTGCTCAATCTTTGATCTTCTACACGATCAACCCGGCCGCTCGAATCTCTCGGCACCTATGAAGCAGCAGCCATACACCACACCCGGACTCCTCGAAAAGCCTAAATATGATCGCCAACCCAGCCGAATGAAGCAGCAGCCATACACCAGACCCGAACTCCTCTTCAAACCAGGCGAACTCGCAGTTTCTCACATCTACCGTCTCTCTCTCCCTCCCTCGCCGCGCCACATTATAGACTAAGCATATCCAAAACATCCCAGATTTCCATCTTTCCGATCTATCTATAATCCAATTCTGCCTTCGCTAAAATCACAGCTTCGAGACTTGTTGTTACATATAGCATTCATCCCATCCCATCCCATCACACACACACACACACACACACACACAAACAAGAAAAGTCTGATTCCCATGCTAAAAAAGCGCCCTTCGCAGTAAAATCATCATGACTCTCGCATCTGAGAAAACAAAAAGGGCAAGGGCTACCGCGAGTCGTACCTTGCGTTTTTTCTTTTGATTGCACAAGATAAAACAGATAATTCCTCCGTCGTTATAGCCCAAGAAAACATCAAAAAGTTGCCTCCGGGGGAGGGAGAGGGAGAGGGAGAGGGAGAGGGAAGGTAAGATATCATCTCCCCACGCCTTTTCCTTCGAGGGTTTTTGCTGCTGGGAGAAAAAATGGGCTTCTCTGCATAGGTATATGTACGAGTGGGATCTGTATAGGAAGATGAGAGCTGGCACAAAAAGACGATGTCTACCTGCCTAGCTAGCGGGAGACTGTCGCGGGAATGAGTCCTGTGCTAGTGATGCGTGAGGGATGGAGGGGTATGTTTGGAGGGGAGAATTGATATTGTTGTTATTGTTGGAGTGATACTATTAGGTTTTGGATGGAAGGCTGAAGGCTGTAGGAGGAGGATGTATCAATCGAGGCCTATTCAGCAGCAACAGGAGATATGGGGCGGCAGCTTATCGATCGATGGATGGAAAGGAATCGGCCTGCGATGGCAGTGCTGCTGTATGTACATGGACATGTATATGTAGATGTCTGTTTTGCACACGCGAAAAGGTCGTATAACTGATCGGCTTACTGCGCAGCTTTGGCTGAGGGAGGTGAATCAATGTCCAAATGCCAACAAAAAAAAAGAAGAAAAGAAAAGAAAAGAAAGGAAGAAAAGACCAAGCAAAAAGGCTGACATTCAGAACCAAATGAATTGAAGCCCCTCTTCAGGTATAGGTACCCGGTATGTACAAATATCTTCTCAACCTCCTAAGCCACTATCCATATTCCCAATCCCATCACCAAAAAAAAAAAAGAAAATCTCACCACCGCAATCAATCCCTCAATCCATCCAAAATTTAAATCCTCATCTATCCCAAACAAAATTTCATCTCAATCTCTCCAAAAATGTAAATTCCTTCTGTATCTCAATCATCCCTATTATCCCCTCCTCCTCCTCCTCCCCTTCTCTTCTCCCCGTCGCCGTGCTCATCCTCCTCTCTACCCGAAAATTCAACGGTGCCCAACGATTTCCTACTGATGAAGCTTCCTCATCAACATCAAGATTATCAAGATTATCCCTTATACCTCTTCTTCTCAGAGACGACACATTTCGCTCATCAAGATTTTTCGATTGATTCATTGTTTTACGTAAGAGTAGATTCTCCTCTTTCAGTTTTTGTGCATTTTCTTTTGTGAGTTTTAATTCGTGTTGTAAGGAGGTTATTATTGACGAAGATGAATTTTCGTTATCGTCGGTATCGTCGTTGTCGTCGGTGTCGTTATCGTTGTCGTTGTCCCCGTTGGCGATGGTGGCGATGGTGGTTGTTGTTTTTGTTCCTGCAGAAGAAACAGGCCGACGCAAATTTTCAATTTCTCGATATGCAATTTCTAAGCGTTGTTGAAGATTGGAGAAGCGGAGGAGCCATTGGTTATCGTTTTCGTTATTTTCGTTGTTGGTGGTGGGATTTTCGTCGTTATCATCGGCATTCTCAGCATCATGGTGAGTCGGTATACTGTTGCTGTCGCTGGTACTGAACCTCGCCTTATTTTTGTTTTTCTTCAAAGCCAATTTCTCCGCTTCAAGTTCTTGTTCCTTCTCATCAACCTCTTCCAATTTAATTTTCGCTTCTTGTTCAAATTCCAACGCTTCTCTTTCTCGAAGTTCTGCTTGGAGGAGTTTTTGCTGGAGAAGGTTTTCTTTTTGAGCGAGATTTTTTTCTTTTTGTGCGATGGTTTTTTCTTTTTGCTTGAGATTTTTTTCTCGTTGGGCGAGATCTTTCTTGGCAGTAGCATCTCGTTCTGAAGAGAAAGAGGAGGAAGAGGAAGAGGGAGATTTGGGTCTTGTAACTGGCCAATTCTCCGCATTCCTCCAGGAATGAAACTCGCAAATATACCAAAGAGTAGGTTGCAAATCATGCGGCGAGTCCAAAACGAGATGAATTAAATTATCGACGGTAAATTTGCCATACCTGAATAGCATACCAACAGCAACAGCAGCAGCAGCAAAAATTTAGTCAGATATATATCCCATAAATCATCCAGCACTCACTCACTCTCCTTGAAAAAATTTGGGTCCTCCCGGGGGGGGGGGGGGGGGAGCCTTACATATTACATAAAAATTGCCTGGTATCGAATTTAATTCGGAACGCATTGGGTGTATTTGTCGAAAGATGTATACTCCAGAAATGTTTTTCGCCGACAGTGACTCTGCCTTTGGTAGCGCGCAAGTATTCACCGCTTGACGCGTTTTTGAAGGCGATTTTTCCGTCGGAATTGGTTTGATGCTCGATGAACCATTGTTGTTTTTGCTCTCCGTTGAGGTTTGAGGTTTGGATACTGCCGTCTTGTGGTTGAATGCAGAGACCACTTGTTGCCGGTATGAGGAAATATGAGGCTTCTGTTGTGTTGCTGCTCATTTTCTTGTTGCTTTTTTGTTTGTTTTTGAGGAGTAGCTGGTTCTGGAGAGTAGGAGGAGGAGGAGGAGGAGGAGGAGGAGGAGGAGATAGAGGAATTTGGGAAAATGCAGTAATGCTACAACGACTGAGCATCTAGAGATCTAGACCCTCCCCGAAGAAGAATTACTCTACAGAAAAAAGTGTGGAATAATGTCAAAAAAATATCCGGAGAACTTTTTTCTTCCCCAATTGCAAGTGCCGCTCATGCAGACTATCCCCACGTCTTTGCAGTAGACAATTCAAACTAGAGGCTAGGAGGATATTGCATATATCGAACATCAATAGGTGCATCAACCATCCATCTATAACTTTACGGTATATTAACTTCACACCGGCTTCAGATCGACATTCTTTTTGGCCTACCTCCTACATGGTGAGCTTCCACGCTCGTCATACCATCTCATCTTACCCAAAGTTTTATTTTCTCAAGGAAAAAGGAGATCGTCGTTTTAATGCCTCTTGTTGCTTTTGCAGGAATTAGTTTCGTCTAGGTACGTTTTGAGCAAATGCAGAAAAGAGAAAAAAAGAGCTCTCTCCTCATTGAACTCGTTGAAATCGAACTAATGTACCTCCTACGGAGAGTTGACGTAAAAAATTGATGCGGGTGAGGGAAGTATATATCATACCTTTCGTAGAGATATACATTGGCATTGGACTTCTCTTTACGACCGTTCCTGATTCTTATATTCTATTCACTTTCCTCTCCGTCACCCGATACATCAACATCCACATCCACATCAACATCAACATCTATACCCATCTATCACAAAATGGCAGACCCAACAAAGACCGCAGAAGACACAACGTAAGTATCTTTTCTTTCTCATCGACTTCTCAAACCCTCCTTACCTCCCTACACATATCCCCCCCCCCTCCCCAAATCGAAAAAAAAGTACATATTAACAAAGAAAAAAGTAAAAACCCAACAGGAGCCGCCGGTGCTCTCACAGGCAAAGACTCCGCCGTAGGAGGTCTCACAGGCGGAAGAAAACCCGGCCCTGCCAATAATCGAAGTGATGATGATGATGATGATGAAAATAGTGTAAGTTTTCTCCCAAAAGTAATCTCAACAAAAAAAAGATATGCTAACCTCTTTTTTGTATAAATAGCCCGTCGACGGAAACGGAAAGGGAAAAAAAGACGAAGAAAATTCTTCCCTAAAAATTCGAATCCAATTGGATTTGGATGTGGAAATTCATTTGACGGCGAGAGTTAAGGGGGATATTACGATTGGGTTGTTGTAAGGAAAAAAAAAAAGAAAAATCCTCTTTGTGAGTTTTGTCTGTTTTGTAAGAGAGAGAGAGGGGAGAGGGGTGTTTTCTTTTTGGAGAGATGAAGATTTAGAGACAGAGATTGATTTTTGGGTGGTGAAATTAGGACGAAGTGATGATGATAGGGATGGGGATGGGGTTTTGGGTGGAAGTTGTAGGTAGGAGGTAGTGAGTGGGAGGGAGTGAGTGAGTGAGTGAGTGAGTGAGTGAGTGAGTGAGTGGTATAGCAGTTTGTTGGTTTTTGAGTAGTACCCCTGAAATGTTCCAATATCTTCAGCGCGATTCTCTATACTGATGATAATGATAATGATGATGGTGACGAGGACCACAAAAAGTGGCGGTACCTCCGCGGTTCCGAAAGTCTGTCTTCTTAGCAAAAATCCACCCCCCTTTAAGATAGATTCCATTACTTTGTAGAGTAATTATTCTATATATAGACTATAGAAATCGATTATAATACCCGCGTTGCAATCCTTATACTCTACGCTATCGCTAGATATATATTTGACCAAATTGCGACTGTCCTACTAGGAGTAAATACCTAAGTAGCTTAAAGACTCCTCTATAGAGCTAAAACTAGGGCTAATTCTAATAACTTTACTTAGATACTCGATTATATCGATCTATTGCCTTAGAGTAGTGCTCCTCGACGCGTAGAACTAGGATTAAGAACTTCTTTAAGGATTAGATAGGATGTAAGTGTAAAAGGATAAGATGTGTAGGCTGAAGTATCTAATAGAAATGTACTACTCGAATCGCTTAGGAGAAGAGTAGGAATGCGTCTTCTCCCTCTGTTTATAAGTATATCTTCGGAGTACCCGGAGGCTCTAGCCTCTCGGGTCTAATTTAGAATATCTCGATCTGAGATCTCCTACTCTAACTCTCTATAAACTATCTTAACTCGGTATCGGCGGTAAAGGTCTAGCCTAAACCCTCTTAAATCGTAGTAGCCCGTTCTAGCCTATTTTAGGTACTCCCGGGCTATTCCGGGTCTATCCTAAGATATCTATATCGCTGTCTAGTCTAGATCCTAATATTGCCTCCCCCGTTTTTGCAGTTGTCCTCGACCGTATAGGCCCCTGTTTTTTCTCTTTATTCCTAGGACAATAAGGCATTAAGTAAATAAACCTATAGAAAGTAATAGATCGCATTCGTCCGCCCTAGAATCTAATAGAGCCTTTTCTAGCGAATACCTTCTTTTAGTATAGAAAAGGGCGTCTTTTCCTAACAATTTTCTCTTTCCTTATACTAATATTACCGCTTTCCTAAAATTTTGTAAGTAAACTATTTTTCCTACCCTCTGTCTTAATAACTCCTCCTAGGGTAACCGGGGCTTTCCGGCCTATTCTAGGGTATTCTTAGCTAATTTAGACAGTAGTATACCTATCTAACTCGTCTTGCTATAGCTACCGCCTTACTGCCTAATAGCAATCTATACGTTAATTGTATTAGCGTCCTTAGCTCGGCCTCGGACGCCGAGGTCGTCGATACGGTATACCCTTCGGTACCTCTACCTATTTCCCTACCTCTTCGTAGGGACCGGTTAGACAGACCTTAACGATACCCTCTATAGTCTTTAAGACACTAGTCCTATATCTTGCTAGAAGTGTACTACCCGGTCCGGCTACTACTTCTAGATATCGTTCCGGCCTATTCTAGAGCGTCTTAGCCTAGACCGGTCCTAACCTTTCTATAGGTGCCCGCGGTATTCCGAAGTAGTATCGAGTTTATCGATAACCTCCGCTGTACTAACGATCTCGACGATACTACGCCTACTAAGCGCTAGGCCAACGCGGTAAAGGCTAGGACGTTTGCCGACGCCTTCTATAAGATCCTTAAAGGGTATATATCTCCCCGTCGCCCTATTCTAGGCCGTTTTAGGGCGTTACTAACTAAGTTTAGTAAATTTCCCTCGTTCTAGGAGGTTAACAATCTTTATATCTATCTTAGCGGTCCCTAGATAGATAAGTCTAGACCCTAGGTTAATCCTATTATCGCCTGTTACCGGGCTAAGTAGGAGAGGGAGGCGCTTAGTGCAGAGGGTACCCTAAAGAAGAAGAAAGTCGCCTCCGTATACGTACAACCCGACTAGGTAGCTCCTCGGTCCCGGCTTAAGCGGGCAAATACTACTATCCGCAGTTTGTATAAGTATATCGACCGGGTAAATCGAGTTTTAGTATATATTCCCCTCTATCTAGCTTATTCCGGGCTATTCTAACCCGTTTTAGGGCAAACACTCCGCTAAAACCCCTCTTCGCTACGACCTCCGTAAGCTACGGCTACTAAAAGTCTCTCGGGCGATAAAGCGGACCGGCCTAAAGGCCGATAATTCCGAAGGCGATAATTCCCCTACGGGAGAGGATAATAGTAGAGATAATAATAAGTCCTCTTAGGCGAATTAGGGTTACTAGGTTATTCTAGGCTATTCTAGGCCGTTTCTAGGGTGTTTCGGGTGTTTATAGATAATACCCCCTCTGTTTGTATAGTTCTTCGCAACAATGCTTTTTTTCGCTAGTAAATTATTAATATGTTTCCTTATATATACTATATAACGGGTTCTATATATTTCTGCCCTAAGGCGCCCCCTTCCTACGGGATTTCCGCTTTAACGTCTTAGTATATATCGTCTCGGGTACTTCCTAACCCTTTGCTTCCCGATTTATATAGTTTTGGTATACCTTTATTACTACAGGGCTAATATTGCTCGCTAGCTCCTAGGAGTTATCTTCCTCTCTATACCCTTTCTATAAAACTAGGTACGCCTATCGTCCCTGCCTATCTACCTTCTACCCCTTAATCTTGTCTACCTCGTAGACTTCGGGGTCGTCTATCTTAAACGATTTCGGGCTATTCTAGTCCCTCTTAGTATATTCTGCCTCGATATAGTCTTCTAGTATACTTACGTAGAAGGTCGGGTAGATTTTTATATCGTCGGGCAGTTCTAAGGTATATACTACGTCGTTGACTACGCGTATAACCTCGAATAGTCCGATATACTTATAGTCGAGCTTCTTAGAGTCCCTTACCGTAGACAAGTTCTTCGTAGATAGGTATACCTTGTCCCCGATTACGTACTTCTTTGCCTTGCGTCCCTCGTTATAGTACTTAGCTTAACTCTGCTTAGCTTTAACGAGCCTCTCCCGTAGGGTCTTCTAGAGACTAATTATTTTGTCGGCTAAGTCCTCCGCCCTTAGGGCATTCCCCCCGTTCTAGACTATATCGGGCTATCTTGCCCGTATAGGGTCCCTAACGTTACAGATCTAGAACGGGGTTACGCCGGTAGAAGCGTATTAGCTATCGTTATAGGCAAACTCTATAATATTAAGTAGCCTTACCTAATTGTCCTACTCGTAGTTATAGTAGGCGTAGAGGTACTGTTCTATAGTCTGATTCTACCGTTCGGTCTGTCTATCCGTCTACGGATAGAACGTAGTACTTAAGCCCCTCCGAACGCCTAGGTAGTAGTAGAATATACTCTAGAATTTTGAGGTAAACAGCGTCCCCCGATCTGTTACTATCGATACCGGGATGCTATATAAGCGAAATACGTCTTATAGGAAGAGGTCGGCTAGGTCTTCGGCAGTTATATCCTTCCGATATAGGGTATAATAGGCTATCTTAGAGTATCTGTCTATTACTACGTAGATACAGTCGTAGGTATAGCCTATAAAGGTAGATAGGGGAAGGTCCGTAACGAAGTCTATAGTTAAGTCTTCCTATAGGGCACTTAAGGCGTCTTCGGCTACTAGTAGGCCGTATAGTTTGTATCTCCTCGGTTTTACCCTAGTATACGTCGTATAGCTCGAAGTATAGTCTTTTACGTAGCTTCGTACCTTAGGCTACTAGAACCTCCTTAGTACGAGTTCGATCGTCCGTTAGAACCCGAAGTAGCCCGCTATCGGGTTATCGTAGTATTCTCGGAGTATTTCGAGCCTTAATAGTCCTTCTAGGACAAAGATACGGTCGTTCTAGCGCTATAGGCCGTCCTCGTACGTCTATCTTTAAGTCTATATTAGTAGAGAATCTAGAGTTTTAGCTTTCGAGACCTTCCCTGCCGTCTCGTCCGTAGTAGTATCTTCCCGAATTCTCTTAACTAGGCTCTAGTTCATCTCTGCCTATAGGTCGTAGCGGTAACCCGAGGTATTGCTAGCTATTTCTCTAACTACTATTATAGCCCGTACCGGGCTATCTTAGCCGGTAATAGGCTCTTCCGGGTTGATCTATCGCTATAGTATTTTTAATACAACGGAGGAGTCCTCCTAGTTTAGCTAGCGGCCGGAATAGTCGGGGTCTATATAATCTAGACGTCTGCTTACGCCGTCCGCTACCCCGTTAAGGCTCCCTACCCTATAGACTACCCTAAAATCTATAGTAGCGAGCTATTCCGCCTATCTTACCTATCTCCGGGAGAGGGTTTTAGTCGTTATAAACTATTGTAGGTTGTAGTAGTCGGTTATTAACTTAACTTAGTACTACGCGCCCTCTAAGTAATGTCTCTATACTTTAAAACATTCTACGATAGCAAGGAGTTCCCTATTATAGGTATTATAGTTCTTTTCTGCCGCGACTATCTTACGAGAGAAGAAGGCTACCGGGAACTATTATATCTTGCCCTAGAACTCATGTTACTATATTATAACGCCCGAGATTACGTAGCCTAATACGTCCGTTTCTACCCGGATAGCCCGTAATAGGTCGAAATACTTTAGAATCGGCGCTAAACAGAAAGCCTACTTTAGCTTAAAGAACGATTACTTAGCCTCCGGAGGCAGGTTAATCTTTACAGACTCTTTATTCCGTTACTTCTGCCCTCCCTTTACCGTATCGCCCTTTCTCTCCGTTAACCGGTTTAGGGGGGCTACGATTCGGGAGAAGTACTATATAAATCGTCGATAGTAATTAGCAAACCTAATAAAGATCCGAATATCCCTTACGGACTCTAGCTCTAGCTAATCCCGGACTGTAGCGACCCGTTCTAGCTCTATCTCGACCCCTCTTAGACTAACTAGGTACCCTAAGAAACTAACTTAGTCTCTATAGAAGTTACACTTAGTTATTTTAGTATAGAGCTTAGCCTTTTGTAGCCGTTCGAGGACCGTTACTACGTCTCGGGTATAATCCTCTTTATTCTAGGAGTAAATAAGGATATCGTCGAGGTATACTACGCAGATAATATCGATTAGGTCCTTAAGTATATTATTTATATACCCTTAGAACGTACCCGGGGTATTAGTAAGCCTAAAGGGTATAACGGTATACTTAAAGTAGCTATATCTAGTCCGGAATACAGTCTTCTACTCGTTACCCTCCTTAATTCTAAGTCGGTAGTACGCGTCTCTTATATCGAGTTTGGTAAAGATCTTTGCTCTAGATAACTAGTCTAGGGATTCTTAGATTAATAGTAGGGGATATCTGTTTTTGACCGTTACGGTATTTAGTCTACGGTAATCGACGTAGAGCCTAAGACCTCCGTCCTTCTTCTTCGCAAAGAGGATACCTACGCCGGCAGAGGAGCGAGAGGGCCTAATCTAGCCTCGGTCTAAGTATTCTTTAAGGTAGTTTCGGAGAACCTCTAATTCTGTCTCGGAAAGGTTGTAAAGAGGCCTCTATAGGGGTATCTTGCCTTCCTCTAGCTCAATTCCGAGCTTAAATAGCCTATAATCGGCTAGAATAGAGGTATCCTAACTAAAGAATATAGATACGTACTGTCGGTATACCTCGGGGAGCCCTTCTAGGTCTTTGTTAGTCCTATCGATAAGTAATAAGGATATTGCGTAAAGGACCGTACTAGGGTCTACGAGCTTAGTACGTATCCGTTCTAGGCCGATTATCGCTACTTTAGACTATTTGCGTCTAGTCTTCTTCTTCTAAGCTAGTATCTTAGTTAGGAAGTTTACCGAGGGGTTCTACTATTCTAGCTATAGTATACCGAGGATTATCTCGAACCTGTAGATCCTTCTAACGGCGATATAGGTAGTTCCGCCCCGTTTTAACCTATTACTAGCGGAAACTTTAAAAGGGACCTTTGTATATCCCGAAACCGCGAGGGCTTAGCTATTCAAGGTCTCGTACCTTGCCGAAGCCCCTCGTTCTAGAGTATAACCTATTTCTTTAGCTACTACCCTATCTAGGAAGTTTATCTAGGTACTATATTCTACTAGAGCGTAGATGTTTCGTCGCCCTATCGGTCCTTCTAGGGTTACTTTAACCCTAATCAAATTATATAGCCCTAGCTCCGTAGCCCGACGGCCGTACGGCTCTGCCGATCGTCGTTACTCCTCTATATATATTACTTATCCCGCTACCCGGAGTACTAGAGGGCGGGGCTAGCTTTTAGGGACCCCTTGTTCTCTTAAGCTACCTTATTAGGGCATTCTAGGCGTTTATAGCCCGTCTCGCCGTATCCGTAGTACCTAGGTAGAGGTCTAGTATCTCTAGGTCGGCTTAGTCGTCCTATCGACGGAGGTTAGCTCGTTTTAGAGTAACTTTAGGACCTCTTTGCGTAGATAGCGGTTTTACTAGTAGTATCGGACCGTCCGCGTTTGTTATCGCGTTTATCCTTCTAGCGATAATCCCTTTCGGCCTAGATAGCTCTCTAGTAGATATTTGCTGCTTCTTCGAAGGCCGTAACGGTAGTAAAGGTAGTAAGATTAATATTGATCCGATACTTAATCCTTCCGTCTAGGGCGCTTTTGAACTCTATAATCTTTGTTTATTCGTCCTCCGTTCTAAGCTCGTCCTAGTATTCCTTTAGGTCGGTTAAGAGCTCTGTTAGGGTTCGGAGGTTCTATTCGATAGATTTAATCGCGTCGTAGGCAATTTGTCGCCTCTCCTAGGGTATGCCTATCGTATTAAGTATATATTCCTTAAAGTCGGACTAAGATAGGGCGTTATAGGCCGGTTAGGATCGGAGTAAGTCTATAAACCGGTTCTACTAGGATCTTTGTTCGGTTGCTATCTATTCTTCCCTAAGTTCAATCTTGGTTTAAGCGTCTATATAGTAATCTAGGGCCCTTCGGAAGATTCGTTCGCAGTCGTCTCGCTATTCGATCTAGTTACGTCTGTTCTTTCCTTTAAATATATAGGGATTCCGTAGTTTAGGAATGAATTAGGCTAGAGATAGGCTAGGATAGCCTAGGATAGGGTCGTGTCTATTAGTTAGGAGGACTCCGGTTAGAGATTAGATTATCGTATTAGATTGTTTAAGTTGCTAAAGCAACTTAGTACGTTCCTCTCTAGCCTAGCTTACTCTAAGGAGTTGCTAGGCCTTAGCGGCCTCCGTCTCTTCGGCTTCTAGCTAAAGTACGACGTCTACTTCCGTTAGGGTACTAGTCGCTACCGAGTCCTAGGTACTCGATCCTAAGCGTATCGTATTCTTTAGACCTATAGTTAGAGATACTTCGTTGTACGATAAAGAAGCGATTCGTATATAAAAGGATAAGATGTATAGGCTAAAGTATCTAATAGAAATATACTACTCGAATCGCTTAGGAGAAGAGTAGGAATACGTCTTCTCCCTCTGTTTATAAGTATATCTTCGGAGTACCCGGAGGCTCTAGCCTCTTAGGTCTGATTTAGAATATCTCGATCTAAGATCTTCTACTCTAACTCTCTATAAACTATCTTAACTCGGTATCGGCGGTAAAGGTCTAGCCTAAACCCTCTTAAATCGTAGTAGCCCGTTCTAGCCTATCTTAGGTACTCCCGGGCTATTCCGGGTCTGTCCTAAGATATCTGTATCGCTGTCTAGTCTAGATCCTAACAGTAAGAGCTAAATAGAAGTAGCAAAACCAGCCCTAAGCAGCTAACTATACTATAGATTCAGTCCGTAATAATTTACTTAGATATCTACTCTAGGACCTAAAACTATAGTAGGTATAGAATATACTTAGGGGCAAAGCTTATTATCAAGCGGATCTAGTAGATAATCGACTAATCTATAGAAAAAGGGCCCTTAATAAGATTACTTTAGAGAAGCTCGATTTAGACGATAGGAAGCGATATATTAAGCAGGTTCTAGCTTTCAAAGTAGAGGAGGTTAAGCTTATCTTCTATAATAAGACTCTACTTAATTTTAGGGGTTATAGAGGCAAGAATTATATCTTAGTACTAAAAGAGGTAAATATCTACTTAGACTAGTTTAACCCTCGCTTTTTAAGGATATAGTAGGCCGCTGTCTCTTTAGAAACTCGTCTATAACGTAGGGTAGTTATTTAGAAGCTAGAATTAGATAATATAACTATTGAATTAGCCTCGGATCTAGCTAAAGTACAAGCTAAGATAGCTTCTTAGATAGAGAGGCAAATCTAGGCCTTAAAGGTAGAAAATACCCTAGAATAGGAGCTCCTTAAAGAAACTAATACTAGAATTAATACCTATAATACCTCTTTACCTCCTAGGCAAAGGAAGGGTAGGAAAAGACCTATTATAGTAGAGAAATTGTTTAAAGTTAAGAAGATATTAAGAGACAGAAAAAAGGAGGGTTTAGATTTAGTATTTTATACCTTCTAAGTCTATAGGGACTAACTTTTTAAGTACTATTAGGAAGTCTAGGCCTTATACCCTTATAAGGAGGTCTTTATTGTAGAAGATAACGTTAGTGTCTATTACAAAGTAAGAAGAATTGTTACTAGTTTAATCAAGGCCTAAAATATTAAGTTTTTGGATACCCCTACTAACTTACTAGACTTACAACTAATTAAGACCCTCTATAGTAATAAGAAGCGCTTACTTAAGCTATTCGTAATAGGCGTTATTAGCTTAGGGAAGTATATTTAGAAATTGGTAGAGGATAAAGTTTCTTATATTTAGTAGCAGAATTCTGAGTTTAGTAATTATATAGCAAGGAAGGCCTCTCTCTTATATTTTCAAGGTCTATATAATAAAGCAAAGCTCGCAGAACTACCCTATAGCAATAGATTCAAAGATAGTCTGTAATTCTATATAAAAAAATGTATATAAAGTTGATATATAAGGCTTTTGAGAATGCCAAGAAGACAGACTTTCGGAACCGCGGAGGTACCTCTTGTGCATATGCCATGCGGGTGAAATGATCGCTCTGTTGTGCTTCCTAATCTAGCAAATCCATCAATCCCGCATCGACAGATTAACTTTTGACGAACAAACGGTGGCGGCGAGTCTGTTCCCTCAGAATGTCTCTCTCAGAGAGCGATCATCAGGTGAAATTCTGTGAGCAGAAGCTCTTTTTTCGTTCGGTCCTGTTGAAAAAGAAAGAAATAAATTCACTTCAACATGGTTCTGGGCATCCTCAGTACGTACGACTTTTTACCTCCCCAACACAATCACTCTACATCTATACTGATATAAAACTCCAGCCGCAATCGCAGCATGTCCAGCAATAATCGGAACCACCGAAGCCGTCCGACACGGCCAACGGCAAAACTCACGAGAAGAACAACGCGGCCGCAAAACCAACCTCACAGTCTCACTCCTCCACCGCAGCGAATACACTTCCCAATTCGACGGCGCATACATTGTTCTCAAAGACCACAAACTCTGGATCGACACCACCGGCCTCGCGAACCATTTGCATCCCTTTTCAGGATATTTTCTCCCTTATCCGCACGACGACGTCGCGCAGAGTTGGCGAAAAGCGGGTTTTCGGAAAGCTGAGGGAATGGTTACGACGATTTCGAACGATCCGCCGTTTTTGAATTGGGTTTATGTGGATTGTGATAGTCATGAAGTTAAATTTGGGAAGAGGGATGAGGTGGAAGGACATCGTCTTGGGCCTTTTGATGTTACTAAGACGGATCGGAGATTGACGTTTGAGGGGTGGGAGGGTTTTGTTGCGGTTCAAGAGCACGATGGAGAGGATTTGTGGGCGTTGTATTTTGACGTGCATGATGATGGTTTGACGAGTGGTGAACGTGTCGGGACTCAAGCGTTACGAATGTTGGCGCTGGAGGTGTGGAGGAGAGAGTTGAGAGTCGATCGGGAGATGGCCATGGAGGAACGGTTGGAGAGGATACGGATGCGAAGGGAGGAAGAGGAGAGGAAGTCGGAGTCTACGACTGTTTCGTGATGGATCTACTTCACGACATCGATGTTGGGTAGAGAAAGAGAGAGAAAAAGAAAGGGGACCTTAGGCATTCACTCACTCAAGTGGAGCAATTACAACTTCTCCTTTTCCTTCTCGTCCAAAACATCATTATTCTGCATCCAAGCTACTCGCAGTAAATTATCGCTATAAGCTGTCTACTCAAAAGGATATCCTAGCAAATAATACCGTTGTTGCATAAAAACCGTTACCGACCGGCTAAAGAAGACCGAGGCCTCTTGATAGTGGAGAGTCTCTCTCTTTCTCCCTTCCGCGTAGCGGCATAGCAGGTAAGCCCAACGATACGCAGTATATGGGACAACCTTATTGGCAAGCGTCCCGAGAAGCATAGTAGTAGTAAAGTAGCAAAACGATGTGTATGCCACTACTCTTCAACAGCACAGCTACTCCTCATCACCATCACCATCCCCTCACCAAGAGTAGGTACATAATCCACCAGCAAAAAAAAAAAAAAAAAGAAAAAAAAAGAAAATGCACCCCCTACTAATCTCCCTCCTCCGCCTCATCTACCCCATCAACCTCCCCACCAAAACCCGCGATCGCCCCCTCCAAGTCCTCGCCTTAGGAATTTCTCGCTCAGCTACAGATTCTCTCCGTCAAGCACTCCTCCACCTCGGCTACATCAATTGCTACCATGGTTTCGATTATGTGAACGCTTCCAATCACTCTATCCAATGGATTCGACTTGGATGGGCGCAAGAGAATTCTGCCCCCCTTACTATTTCTCGCGAAGAATTTGATAGAGTCCTCGGTGATTGTGCCGCCGTCACAGATTTCCCCTGCGGTGGATTCGCCGAGGAACTTTTGGAGCTATACCCTTCTGCGCAGGTTATATTGAATTATCGCGATGATGTGGATGCGTGGGCGCACAGCGTGGCGAATACTCTTGAAGTGGTGGTGAAGGGCCAGGAGTGGGAAGAGTGGTTTTTGACGTTTTTTCAGTCGAATTTGTTTTGGAGACAACGCAGCCTTTATTGGGTGTGGTCGAGATTTTTTGATGGGGATTTTGAAGCCGCGGGGAAGGAGTGGTATCGGAGGCATTATGGGACGCTGGAGGAGAGGTTGAGGGGGAGTGGGAGGCGGTTTTTGAGGTGGAAGGTGGAGGATGGGTGGTGGGTACCTATTACCTTGAGGAATATGGCGAATGTTTTATTGGGATGGTACTTTGAACTGATTATTTCGTTTTTTTTTTCAATCAGGAAACCTCTCTGCGATTTCTTGGAAAAACCTATTCCAGAATGTGATTTCCCCCGTGGAAATGGGGCTGAAGAGTTTTTTACACGATTCGCTGCTGTCGAAGCAGCTCGTCGAGCGCAAGCGAGGCGGAATATGAAAGTCGTGGGTTTGATTGCTTCTTCTCTTTTGAGCGCTGGCGTTGCATTCATGATATTACGCAATAAGAAGTAAGATGAGATACAGGTGTTCTGCCTAGATTTAATTTTCGTGGTTCTAGAAAGATGTTCAGACATTCAGGTAGATGGATATGGATGATGAACAAATTGCTGTATAAACTCTAGAGATCAAGATATAGGTCCATACGGATCGTTGCTTTCTACCTCTAGGTCTGCTTCTACCTCTGCTTCTCCTCTCGTCCCTATTTCTCCCAGCATACCTAGTCTAGATATGTATCCAGCGTCCAGTCGTCCTCAGTCGAATCTTCTCTTGTGTGTATAAACGCAGCTCCGCGCGCGCGCGCCGCATGACCAACTTCGAGTAGTCTTGCCGATAGATCGTAACAGGGAACAGTTAGATACCTAGGCTTCCTCCAGAAGCCCGTCGAAGGGACCGGTCACATCGTGGTGCGCTGGCCAAGACAGTAGAGGCTGAGAAGAAGGCAGACACCGTTCGATATTGCCATCAGGGGCGGCGGCTGCGAATTTCGTGGGCGAGGACGATGTTCCGGGAGTCGTGACGGCTGGGAGGAAATGCGAGCGGGGTGGATGGAGGGTGGTATGGATGGGGTTGATGTCCCTTGGAAGACCATGGTATGGACTGCTTTTGTCGGCAGACTTAATGGCAGAGATGCTGAAAGAGCACGCGCTTGCTGTTCTTTATTGCTGGTCTGGACACACACGATCATCGGTGGCTGTGGTCTGAAAGTCTAGGCGAGCTCTTGTGGTTGTGAGAGGGTTGGTGCGACGAGCCTTGGCTTGACCTTCATAACTCCTCTGTGGGCAGTTCTGATGGTCGTCCTTGATCCGCGTATGCTATTACAGTAGCCCCTAATGCGGCGAATGCTGCTGGCTACATGACCAGAGTAGAAAGCGAAGTCTGCTCAGGTGTCTCCGCTGTGTATTTGACATATATATTGGATCGAATATGGTGCCATCCAATGAAATTACCACCATATGATCGTGCGCCGCGACTTATGGTGGGAAATCAGGTATGGCTCGATGGCTAACAGTTGGTTTCCATAGGTGCCACAACGAAAGTCCCTCGGACTCTAAACAACAACCTTTTTTTGTTTTCTTTTGCTTCGATTCTGGAGACAAGAAGACAGTCCGCTGCGTCGAGATACTTTTGCCATGCTCGACGACCTCTGAAAGTGTTGGTGTCGATATGCAGGACTTTTTGTACTTCCAGCTGCCCTGTTCGATCCACGGTGGTGGCCGTCTGGACATGAGGCATTGGTCCATGACGCCGTTTTCAAGCAGGAGCGACCCTTGGCAGACCACTGGCAGAGGCTCACTCGCCGCGTTCCTCTCAACCATCCATCCACACCACCACGACAACAGCAGCAGCCGAGCGCGGTGAGAGCGGCCAGACAGCATGACTATCGAGCGACGGCGAGCACCAATCCAGTGGCCAGTATCGGTCAGATGCCCCTTGTCCGCACCAGTTCTAAGTTGGTTGTTAAGGGCGGCCCGGAACCCTCTAATAAGTCACAGCAACGAACAGCAAACCATCAAAGACGGTGATGGAACTGCTCCCACAGGCTCTACTATTGCCGTTGCTTTGTATCGCTGACCTGAACCAAGTACAGGGCGCAGGGCTGCCATGTTCTGAAAGAGATTCTAGACAGGGTCGAGAAAACTGGCCGCGACGGCAAGCCACCGGGCAAAGGCAACGACCCGATCGAGATCATGCTCGCTGAAGATATATCTGAAGTCGGAGCTGCCCTCGGCGCCGCAGTAATTGAAACTCAAGCGTGGCCAGGCTTCCGCGCAGTTGAAGTGGAAAAGCGAGGATACCGCAGGCAGAAAGTGCTTCGATGGGGAGGAGTATACAATAGACGCACTCCCAGCGCGTCAAGGTGTGTGCGTCCATCTACTTCGCCGAGACCAGGGACAGTCACCATGACAGGGTCGCCAACATGGTAGAGCTTGGGAAGGCATCAACAGCTATGCTCTTACTCAAATCCATCTGAGGTGAGACACATCAATCCTGTTGACCTTGAAAGACGTGCTAACTCTTCGTAGACAACGAGCACGGTGGTGCACCATCTCCGACGCCGAGTGCTTCATTGCAACAACCGCGTCAAGACCCACGCGCCACCGTTCCCACGCATTCACCACACCCGTTGACTCTGTCAGTGTAACGCGCGTGCGGCCCAGAGAAGCTGTAGCAAGCGATGGAGCAGCTAGAAACACTGCCGTGGTTGAGCATACGACACATTGGCGCTGCTGTTGGTCATGCACGGCCAAGATGAGTGTGCATCGATGATAGGAGGAGCCGACATCGAGGGATCAGAGAGCCTCACCACAAGACATGCCAGCGTAGCCAGCCATGACCTGTGATACGCCATTGCATCCCGGGATTGGCGTCCCACTGAGTGGAGCATCTCTAGGGCAGGTGGATGCGTCTGTTCTTCGCGAGTGCAAAACACTGAGAAAGATATCAAATAGTACCCAGGCAGCGGCAGATGGTAGCCAGTCGATGCGTTCGTAGCTCCTGTACGTTGATCTCAACCACCATCATGGCACAGACTCATGAGTGTGATAAATCGTGTCCTTGATCTCCCAGCTTTGAACACTGCAATGAATGACCAACCTCTCTGACAGTCAAGAAATTCCTGGCGTGTTCGAGCCAGAAGTGAGTGCAAGCAAAAGTCACAGCCCGAGTCCGCCGTATTTCCCACCAATTGTTGAAGTTCGACCTCACTCCCAAAAGAAGTCTCTGCCCTAACCAGAATCCTCATAGCTTTTCGTGCCGAATAATGAAGAAAGCCTTGGAGCACTGGACCCCAAAGAAAAAAAAGGCCCAGTTCGATGGCGAAATAGATCCGGATAAAGCCTTGTGAAAAGACAAGAGAGGACTTTTCTTTTTTTCTTTTTTTTCCGGGGGGAGGGACAAAAGAGCTTTTTTATAAGAGGTTGTCATAGCTAGCTAGCTCATGCTGTAGCAGCAGCTTGTTTGGGGATGCCAGAGAGAAAGAAAGAATAGGGGGCTCGAGCGGCGATCTTGGGATTGCTGATATCTGGTAGCTTTGGCGGGTTGGGCGTGTTGTTTGGGAGGTATGAAGGCAGAGGATAAGGACCAGGTAAGGCAGGTTTGTGAATGACCTCAGCTGCTCGCGGCCATCGTTGTCATTATCATCATTGTCGTCGTCGTCGTCGTCGTCGTTGGCGTCTAGGATGATCGCATTCGCATGTGTGAATACGTCTCAGGCGGGGTTAAGCACACGAGATCTTTTCTTCAAGGCAGAGTCGGAAACAGTCTCCTAGGGATCAGTCCGGGTGTATCTGGATTTCGTGTGTTTTTCTGATGCTCGATTTTTCTATGGCCGACTTCCCATGTCGTCGTGGACCATACCATGATGGAATTCTGAGGCATTGAGCTTCTTCCCAAAAGCAAGGGCAGATTTCAAAGGGAGATTCCGTTCGTGGGCGATAAGATCTCGTTTTTTCAGCCTCCTTTTCACGCTCCCGACAAGCTGAAGCTGAAAGTCTTGAGCTGGGCGCATGGGGAGATGCAGATGAGAGCGGCCGGGTATGAAGATGATGATTATCTTCTTTGGAATGGGTATGTCTTGCGTCGTCGAATGATCAGTGCGGCCTGCCTGCTTCGGTGGAGGATGTTATGATGTCTCCACGCAATCCATCCATCCTGATGATGCCAGATCTGGGCGAGAAATGATCTCGATCTCCAGCGACAGTGTGCCCTTTTATTTCATGTCGCCGCTATGCTATCTTGGCGGAGGCGCAAGTATGCTGGAGGCGGTCGTCGATGGTGCTCGGAGGCGTCGCGGTGCCCATATGCAGCGACGGGTCGAGTGAGTGATTGAGCCATGGCGATGATGATGTCTGCCAGTGATCGTCCGTGTCCGCCAGTGCGATGCTGTCCGCCAGTGCGATGCTGTCCGCCAGTAGTACATGTAGTGTGTGTATATGGAGGGAGTGCGGTCACAGTGTGTTGGAGGCTACGCCGAAAAGGGGAAGCCGGAGGTGAAGAGCCATCTCCATCGTCATAGCAGCAGCAGTTCAAGGTGGAAGCAGTGCAGCGCCAGCCTCGGCCAAGCTATACCTATCGTCCTATCGTCCTATCGCTCATTGCTGGCCGATGCTAGGCCAGGATGAAGACACAGCCAAGGGGTGAGTGAATGAGCATTCGCTTGTGATTCTTGATGGGCGTGAGTCCGCCTCCTTTTCCACCTTCTTACATTTCACGCTGACCAAGATGGAGAAGCGTGACGCCGAGAAGCAGCAGCAGCTCATAATGGCGAGTGAGCGCACGCCGCTCATTCAGAGCGTGCCCGTAGCGGAGCAGAGGGACCGCTACCCTCATTCGACGGTCAGTAGTCTTCTCGCCTCTCCTATGTTTGAGACTCAGGGAGCAGCTCGAAGCCTTGCTGACGGTTCATATACTACAGGTCCGCCGCACATGCACCATCATCGCCACCTCCATCATCCTCACGGCGGCAACCATCTTTCTGGGCATTGCTCTGACGGGCCACACGGACCTCCTCCGGGGAAAGCCTCGAGCGGCGCCCGGTGAGCTGTTCGCCATCGAAGGGTTGCCACATAACGCCTGGCCCGAGTCGCACGGTATCAGCTATGACCAGCTGAAGAAGACGCTGTTGGACACGCCCGATGCGAAAAAGGCGCGAGAATGGAGCCAGTACTACACGGCAGGACCGCATCTGGCTGGCAAAAACGAGAGTCAGGCACAGTGGACGAAGGACTTGTGGAAAGAGTTCGGTGTCGACCACGCTGAAGTCGTGTCATATGATGTCTACATCAACTACCCGCTGGACCACAGACTGGCTCTGCTCAAGGACGGCGAGGTCGAGTTCGAGGCCACTCTGGAAGAAGATGTGCTCGAAGAAGATCCCTCCACGAACCTCACGGATCGTGTGCCCGTCTTTCACGGCTACTCTGCGGACGGCGATGTGACTGGGCAGTTCGTGTACGCCAACTATGGCACGATACAAGACTATGAGGAATTGGTCAATGCAGGCATCGACTTGAAGGGCAAGATTGTCATTGCGAGGTACGGAGCCAACTTCAGAGGTCTGAAAGTCGCTCGTGCCTCTGAACTGGGCGCCGTCGGTGTGTTGATGTATAGCGATCCTGGGGACGACGGCGGCATCACCGAGGAGAATGGCTACAAGGCCTACCCGGAAGGGCCAGCCCGAAATCCGAGCTCGGTGCAACGAGGGAGTGTGGAATACCTCTCCTTTGCCCCTGGAGACCCAACCACCATCGGCTATCCTTCCAAGCCGGGAGTCCCTCGCCAGTCTGTAGAAGGCAAGATTCCCGACATTCCTTCACTCCCCATTTCATACCAGGAGGTGCTCCCCATTTTGAAGGCACTCAACGGGCATGGTCCGAACGCCTCCTCATTCTCCGACAATTGGAACGGCGGCGGTCTGGGCTACAAGGGCGTGAACTACAACGTCGGCCCTTCGCCCGAGTCGCTGACCATCAACTTGATGAACAAGCAGGACTATGTCACGACTCCCTTGTGGAATGCGATTGGAGTCATCAATGGTACCATCTCGGACGAAGTGATCGTGATTGGCAACCACAGAGACGCTTGGATCGCTGGCGGTGCTGGAGATCCCAATTCTGGCTCTGCTGCCTTGAATGAGGTCGTCCGATCGTTTGGCAAGGCTCTGGAATCGGGATGGAAGCCGCACCGAACCATCGTTTTCGCATCGTGGGATGGAGAAGAGTATGGCTTGATCGGGTCCACAGAATGGGTGGAGGAATACCTCCCGTGGCTGTCGGCCAGTACCATCGCATACATCAACGTCGACGTCGGAGCTCGTGGAAAGCACTTCACCACTTCCGCCGCACCGGTGCTGAACAAGGCCATCTACGACGTGACCGGACAAGTCCTCTCTCCCAACCAGACCACCAAAGGCACCACCGTCCGCGACACCTGGAGCGGCCACATCTCCACCATGGGCTCCGGCAGTGACTTCACCGCCTTCCAAGACTTTGCAGGTATCTCCTCCATCGACGTGGGCTTTGGTGCCGGTCCCAACGACCCGGTCTACCACTATCACAGCAACTACGACAGTTTCTACTGGATGGACACATACGGTGACCCTGGTTTTAAATACCACATCACCATCGCAAAGATTATCAATCTACTCGCCGCCAAGCTGGTAGAAGAACCCATTGTGCAATTCAACGCTACCGACTACGCTGTTGGTCTCAAAAAGTACCTCGAAAGCGTCAAGTCCATGGCAAAAGAACATCAGTGGGATCTTCTCCAACTCGCCGACCCCTTCAAAAAGCTCGACAAAGCCGTAGCCGATTTCCAGGATGCATCCATCGCATTCGATGCTTCAGCCAACAAACTCGAACAGCACCTCGCTTCCTCCACCACCTTATCCGAGTCACGCAAGAAAGCGCTCTACGATGCCGTCAAGACGACGAACAGAAAGTACAAATTCCTCGAACGACAATTCCTATATGCGGGTGGCTTGGACAAGCGAGATTGGTTCAAACATGTCGTTTTCGCTCCGGGCAGATGGACCGGGTATGCGGGTGCGACTTTCCCCGGCCTGGTCGAGAGTATTGAGGACCACGATGAGGCGAATGTGAGAAAGTGGGCGGGCATTATTACGGGGAGAATTTATGCTGCTGCGGGCTTGTTGCTTGATAAGTGAATTTCAGAACTCTCCTACACGTGAGACAAGTACAGCCGAACACTAAAGGGTACGCGTGAATGCCGAAATAGATGGAAATGATGCATGTATCATGTAGTTATGATTAAACATCACGATACTTAAGTTACCTTACCTAAGATTATTTTTCTTTTTTTCTTTTTTTTTTACGAGGTTTCCATTTCATATGGTATGATACCTACCTGTACATAAGGTACCTACCTCGCTCGAAACATTAAAATCCTTGTTCATTGTTCATAAATTATTGGCCCATCTTCGTCAACCATCATCACTGAGTAGTGAAGAAGGGGGCAAGGGTACCTCAACTACCTACCTACCTTCTCTACGCTACTATCACAGTCACAGTCACGGGTACGTTCTTCTTCTTCTTCTTCCTCCTTCTCCTCCCCATCTCTCTCCAACTCGTTCCTAAACTAGATAGCCCTAGCAGCCTCCCCACTAATAGCATTCTCATTCTCCTCCGCCCGTTGTTTTCCACGCCCAATTCCCCCTTCACCAACACCCATACGCTTAGCAACATATTGTTGAGCAACAACACCAACCGCAGTGGACAAAATTTCTTCCATCCATTCTGCTACCCACTCTCGAGGGTCGACGCCGCCGGATTGGATGATTTCGAGAATACTGTCGGGTAAAGTTCCCTCGACGGAAGAAGGTTCGGCGTCGAGCCAGTCGGACCATTTTTGGGGAAAGGGTTGCGAGAGGCTGCGGAAGGAGATGCTGTGTAAAGGGTCGAAGAGATAGATGGCGAAGACGACGAGGTCGTCGCTGGAGTCTTCGGGAGAGATAATGTTACTGCTGGCTTCTTTGTCTTTTGCGGCGGTTTGGGAGTCTTCGGCGAAAAGGTCCTTGTCGATCGTGTACGTGATGGCTTGAATGGCTAAGAAGATATCACTCGATCGCACAGGGTTGGTCTCGGAGAGTTCTTCCGTGGCTCGTTTGGCGGCTTCTTCGACGCCTCCTTTGCGGTCGAAGAAGTCTTTGGCGTAGCTTTCTGCTTGGACTCGAGCTAACCGTGTGCCTTCTTTCAACCCGGGAACCGCGCCGAGACTTCTCTTGCCGCCCTCATCTCTCCACCATGGTCCGTCTGACCAGGCTGCCGTGCCTGACGTGCCAAGAACTCCGCCGCGGTAGCCTGGTAGTTCGGACGAGCTTCGCCCTCGCGATTCGGTGCCGCGTTGGATGACGAGGAGGTCGCCGCCTTCAACTTGACTCATGACGCGGGAGAATGTGCTGTAAATGAGAGGGTCGAGGGAAGGGTAGTTGAGGATGTCGTGCGTGGTGTGTATTTGTAGTCGTTCGTGGGCGGAGATTGGTGGAGCGATGTGGGAGATGATGGATGTGAAGGACGAGAGGCCCTTGGAGCGGAGATCGGTGCCTGTACCATACATTAGTCGAGACCACCATGTACATGAGGGCCGTGGAGAAACGACATACCAAGATGCTGCAGGTTCTCCAGATTGGCATTCTGGCGAATCTGTGTCACCCACTTCTGGGCTTCCTCGTTGGTCTGAATGTTCTTCGCCAGAGTCTCGGCCTGCTTGACTGCTGCCGTGGCGATGCTGCCCCAACTTCCCCACCACCCTCCTCCTCCTCCGCCCTCCTTTTGCTGCTCCGATTCGTCTGATGTCTTCTCTGGTGTCTGCGCCGTGTGGAAACTCCTACTTCCCTCACCAGACGCTCTGGCCTGTGCCTGACTGGCTCGTGCACGATCCTCACTGCTATTCCGCGCACTACTGCCCTGTGATGTGGTTGCTGGAGTGTAGTCCGCAGCCCGCTTGGGACTCTTGTTGGTCGCGCTCGTGGTGCTGGAGCTCACGCGGGGAGTGGTCGGGCGCGAAGTCATGGGTTTGGCTTTGAGAATCTCGTCAATGTCGGCGATGGGGTCTGCTTCCTCGTTGGAGGCTGTGGCGGGAGTCGTCTTCTTGGTCGTCTTGGTCTTTGGAGCGGGAGCCAATTGGTCTTCTGCGCCCAAGTTGTCGAGCTCCGCCAGCAGGTCTTCCGCGTCGTCCTTGCGAGCCATGTTGGTGACTCTGACAGTGGGTTGGATGGAGAAGGGTGTAGACAGACCGCAAGGACTGAACAAGTGAGTGGAGGGAGGGTGGACGAGATGTGGGATATGCCTAGGTCAAGTCTGTATAATCACGATTGCTACCTATGCTTTCAATTGCGGTTTGACAGACGTCGTCATGTTATGCTTGTCCTGTCCCTGAGCTTCACCTCAACCTCATCCCTGCATCAGCCTCGGCATGGCTATATATAGATAAGTTCCCACTTCACTTCACTTTCAATTCACCTCCAAAACACTAATCGTATTCATTCGCAATTTTCGAATTTCCCTAGAATTATACCAGCTCGACTTCTATAGACTTCGCCCAATCCAGAGCTCCCACCATTGTTGCTAGCGGAAAACAAGATGCCTTCGAGTTTCGCAAAACAGTCGCCGATCTGTCGAAATGCTTTTTGCCTTGATCTAGGTTGATGAGATGAAGAAAATCCAAGCTACACTTGAGTTTCTAGTCACTCATATGAGCAGGCCAATAAACTAGCAACGAGGCATCCGTTTTCATACCAGATCGGACAAGATCCTGCATGCATTCCTCCTGAAAGACATCGTATAACCAACGTGACCAGTATAACAGCAATCCAGACAATGAAAATGTTCTCTTTATCCTCCTCTCATACAGTGGGAATCCCCATCCGGCTCTTACTTCTGACAACAATGACAACTTTCTCGAACAAAGAAAGTCTCTGCTCTCGAGATATCGAGCAAGATGTCGGTAAACCAGGACATCATTTCTATCCAGCATTTGAACATACATTATGGCTCCAAAAAGACCTGTGCAGCAGACTGCTGCTGCTGGGCGACCGCGACGTGGGGCTGCAGTATACTCTGTCGATTATGCAGAAGTAGAAGAAGAAGAAAGTGAAGAAGAAAGTGACGACGACCAGCAAAGCCTACCCCGAACGCAAAGAAGCGCAAGTCCGGAGCCATCAAGTCGTGAAGGCTCTCAGAACAGTCAGCAAGGAGATGATGAAGAGGAAGAAGAAGAGGAGGAGGAAGAAGAAGAAGAAAGTGACGACGACCAGCAAGGTCCACCTCGAACGCAAAGAAGTGCAACTCCTGAGTCATCAAGTCATGGAAACTCGCAGAACAGTCAGCAAGGAGACGACGAAGAGGGAGACGAAGAAGAAGAAGAAGAAGAAGAAGAAGAAGAAGAAGAAGAAGAAGAAGAAGAAGAAGA